TCCCTCTCCGCGTCAAAAAAGTTGAGCTTTTAGTTGCGAAGTTTCAACTTAATAAAGTTTCACTTTCCAACATAATGTTGGTTTTTTCCTAGAAATGTGTACGTTTTACTACAAAAATTCTGAGGGAGAATATCGGAGAAAAATATTAACATCTGATACCTGAGCACTGGAAATCTGTGTCGCTTTTTGATTAGCTCAAGCAAACTTACCTTACAATGAAGATTTTAGGGACAAATGTGTATGTATAAAAATGCGCCAAGGTATGACGAAGACACACTTAAGGAGCCTTTGCCTAGGTTGACTAAGGTTAAAGCGTTTTTGAATGGGTAACTCTTTTAACGTACGCGTGCGCATTCTGCCTATGCGAGTAAATGAAGGCAATTAACGCAGGCACGACCGGACGAAATTCTCGTGTGCTATGCTTATCTCATGTGGGGAGGAACGTCTTATCCTTTCTCAAGCCTCCATACCCTCAAAGGAGCATAGGAGATTGATGACAGATGGACAATTGACGCACGAACCGAAATTGGCAATTTACGAAAACTACTCGATTCGAAGTGCAGATTAGGAAAGAAGAAGTTACAGAAAAAACTATTAGACATCAGTAGTGTGGATACTTTACAGTTGGAAAAAAAAAATTAAAAAGTTTGGCACCTAAAAACTACGTCCTCCTTAAAGTAGCTATAATCTTGAATCATGGTTCGTATAGATTATGTAAGCTCATTCGATATTAAATCCCGTCTACAAATTTTTGGCGGATACCTAAAACGCAGTGGCCGCTCATGCCAAATTTTCCTCCATAATGTACCTCAAGTGTAGTCGCCACTCAACATGCAATTTTTCGTGTTACCTGGAGAAATGATTACAACGAAAAGCCGGCCATGGCGTCGTTTTCGTCGGTCTCGTCGTAACGAGCTTTTACTGTAAGTAGTCAGCCGGTAAGATTTTAATCTGCGCCATTCTGCAACGATGTAGAATATGAATTCTCACGGGAATAGCGGAGAGCCAGGCATATCCTGGTTACGATGGATTTCACGCTTCATTATCACGGAAACCCGGAGTGCGTGCCGTGCGTGGATCCCATTTGAGCTTTTGTCACGTTACGGAGCTTACGGACGAGGATGACCACGTCCACAACGTCCGACACATTCGGCTCCCAAGTGCCATTCGACAAACCGGTCCTCCTGGAGCTTTGCACGCAGGGACGCGAAATTGCGTGAAAGTCATTCCCGGGGGAGTCTGTAAAGTTTCTAGGATTCAATTCAAATTGATGATGATTTTTATTCCACCTATGCGTTCGAGAATAAATCAGGTTCTGCCAATGGTGCGGCGTGCTTTACGATGTATCGATTGATCTGCCACTTAATCCGGTGGAAAAGGATCGATAGGCAACGTGTTCGTAACGCGCACCTTAATAATCGATTCTTTACAATAGTAGCATTTTAAAAGCTACACCCTCGCCAAAACTTGAATCAGTGCACTTATATACATATTGGCGGATCCAGCAAATCAGCAACATTGTCTTTTCTCCTTTTAAACCTATGGAAATGTATCGATTCTTGGAGGGGCTAGGTGCTCCGACAAAAATCGATTATTTGCCTAAGGTTTAAATGGAGGAAATCCGGTGTCGCCAAATTGCTGGATCCGCTTCTATGTACCTATAATATCGATGGAGAATCCAGCTTGTGACGTCACGTCTGCACGTCTAAATGAGTCTAAACGTCTAACGTACGCGAAGCGCATATCTTTGCGGAGGTGATGGGATAGGTCCCCTAAGCCAATTTGAATATTTATAAACGGCACTAGCCCCTATGGCGTCTTGTGCCGTCTCACGCCCCTCTTTTCACTTATTTTGGACGCACTCATAATGCATGCTGCTGAAATGAACAAATTACTCCGATGGCATGAGAAAAATTGCACATAGCTGAAACATCGAGTATTGAGGGGCTTAAAACTTTTTGTGAGCTCTAACCAAACCGTCCTTTAAGAACCACGAATGGTTAAAAAAAAAAAACAATTTTTAAAAAATCCGTAAGTTTGTGAAGACAACTCTTTAAATAAAAAAAGCTGTTGGAATTTTTGTTACAGGGCACTCTTTGTCGATATTTGTAAGGTGTAATCTACTTATAATTTAAATAAGAAAGTTTAAAAAAAACTCTTAAAACACAAACTGTAGTTTTTCGATACTAAATTTTGTTTAAGTAATGTTCAAAGAACTCTCACAGAAGTCATTAGTCATTTTTTTAAATACTCTTTAAGTATATTTTAAAAATGAGTTAAATTTCACTCAAAAATTAGCTTAAAAGAGTTGCCTGAGACGAACGTTTGAACCGTTGACGAAGGGTTTTTAAAAAGTTCTTTTTAAAGGTCATTATTGCTAGGGTCGTTGCAAGTGTTGTGGCTTGTTATGCGTCTCAAAATGAAAACATCGTCACTTCTCGGGAGAATATAGCAAACGCCAAAATTTTAACGGTATAGGTGACACAAAAAAATGACTTTTGATTGATAGAAATGTTATTTCGGCTAAAAATAGACGACACGTACTAACCATCATACGATGTGTGATTCTGTTGGTAGGTATCATTGATTTGAATCTCGCCTTCAATTTCAGCGTATAGGCAACAAATCTGTCCGATAGTGCAAATATTCATCTATTTTAACACGTAACCTTTCAATAGTCTTTGCTAGAACCAATACGTAATACATGAACCTGCTGCCAGACATCGTCAATTTGAAGTTTGCCTTCAATTTCGCCGCATAGGCAACAAACACACCAAGGAGTGCAAATAGTTATCTATTTGATAATTCACATTTATATCGGGCTATAAGCTTTGATTGAACCGATAAGCAATTTGTTGGGCACGTCCTCGGGTCCCTCTTTACCTCTGGGGTGTCCCTTGAACTTCCCATTACGAGCTGCTTAACTCAATTTTGCACCACTGAAAAAAATAAATAAATCCAGCACTGACATCTGTGATACTGCGTTCTAAAAAGATTCTGTGAGCACAGTGGCAGATATAACGAGTGTTATGCATGTTTATTGAGGCTTACAATTCATGCGTTTGCTCTTCAATCCTTAAAATTGAATAATCCAGAGTTTCCGCTACCTTGGTTCTATCACATAGTGCTGTACACATTTACGCTGGAGGCTCTATGTCCATTGATGACAAAGTCGTTGTCGAGGAAACCCTGGCACGCACTACAGCAGTGTATGACGTCATCAACAATGATTTTCAAAGTGCGATATTCCCGTCACTGTCAGACATTAAATTGGGGTTCGAACATCGCCGTTCGCCTGTACTTAAAAATTACAGCCGTCTGAACATGCTTTTGTTACACGCGTAACAAACACATCCTTTTCCCCGTATTGACCGATGTATGGATGTGAGCCTCAGGGATTCGTGGAGTACCAATCGAAGAATATCAGGGGCAACTAAATTAAGCGTTGAGTCTGGTCGTGCTCTGTCTGAATGGTCCGACGCTAAATTAAATAAAAAGGTAAGGGGGCGCCCCACAAATGCGGCCGAAGGGCGGGGACTAGGTCCATAAAAACAGCGCGACGGTGAAACTACCAAACCCTCGTATCTCGTTTGCGGTGTTTAAAAATCTACGCTCACATTTTATTTTTTTGAAGTAGACCAAATCAATATCATTCCTCGAAATTTTCACAGAATTTTCTTCGCACGAAGAGGAAAAATCACAGAAATTGTCAAGACTGGACGTTAAGTAGTTTTTCGCTTAAAAAATAAAGTATGACAGGAAGTCTGCGACGTCGCAAACCGAGATACGTGGTTTGGTAGTTTCACCGTCGAGCGGCGGGTCCTAGATGTTCAAGCGCTTACACACTGGGTACACTCACACTTACATACTCGCTATTTCACTTGACAACTATTGAAGCGGTCCACCGTGCCGACACGAGGCTCGAGACCCTTTCTTTGTTAGCCAGCCCTAAAATTAAACCTACATCTCACTCGGTAAAATAAAAGAATAAAAACTGTGGGACTGTAATATCATTTTTAAGTTTTAGGAGTCTTAAATACTCGGAATTTCCTCCAGTTCGCCTCTTCGTTCACCACCCCCCTTATCTCCGTGTCTGAAAAGTATCGCCTATCGATGGTGAAAGTCTGCAACCATCTATCTCAGTTTGCGACGTTGCAGACATCTGTCATACTTATTCTTTTTAATGGAAAACAACCCAAAGGCAATGCTTAAAAACTGCCGTGATTTTTCTTCTCTGTACAAAGAAAATTCTGCGGAAACGTCAAAGAATGATGCTGCTTTGTTCTCCTGTATCAAAATTAAATAGGATCAGAGATTTTGAAACACCACAAACGAGATACGAGGTCGCGGACTTTCGCCGTCTATATTCTCATTGGATACAACTCCATCATTTTACGTGTTTTTGCTTTTCTCTACGTTACTTCAAAAATCGTAATCGTTTATTTTCTTGTCATTAATCAATGGAAAAGTGTCTGAATTTCAAAAACTCACATTTCTGGAGGTTCGGATAAGGAGGGAGGCAATTGATCCCATCTTGCACGTTGAAAAGCAACTGACTTTACACAATTTGAGCGAATACATATTTTGGTACATTTCTGGATTGTTAAATTTCATTTATTTACTTGTCTTTTAAGTTTTACTTTTCATTCATGCGAAGTCTTCATACTTGAAACTTTTGCCTGAAATGGAATGCCCGCTCCAAGGCATTAGAATACCAGTGGCGTGGCGTGATTTGCGATATATCGATTGATCTGTCATTTAAATATGTGGAAAAAGATCGATATACAGGGTGTTCGCAGCGAACACCTTAATAATCGATTCTTTAGCACAGTTTCAAATGGGGAAATATCGATAATCGATTACTCGCGCCTCACCACTGTAGAATGCGTAAAACTCCGCATCATCGGTACGTGCGGATGACCGGATTGATTCATGTTTCAGAAGTTCACTAGATGCCTGTGAAAATGATTAATTTATATCTATTTTGTTTTTTGTTTCAGCCTGTAACTGTAACGGATTCTCGAATCGGTGCTATTTTGACACGGAGCTTTTCAACCGGACCGGTCATGGTGGCCACTGTTTGGACTGTCAAGGAAACCGGGCAGGACCGAATTGCGAACGATGTCGAGACAATTTCTACCAACCACGAAATGACTCAGTTTGCTTCCCATGCCATTGTAACGAAATTGGTGAGTATGTCTACATTAAATGAGGAATGTTTATGCATCATCATCATCATCATCATCATCATCATCATCATCATGAGAAGAAGAAGCGCACAGAGAACACTCCAAAAAAAACATTGAATCTAGAGTCCAGACTCTTAAAAACATCGACAAGAAAAAATACTCTTGATTCAATCGGATTTTTGCTTAAGCCTCTTAATTTGAGCGGATTTCCTTTTGATTTAAGCAAAAATCTGATTGAATCAAGAGTATTTTTTCTTGTCAATGTTATCAGGAGTCTGGACTCTAGATCCAATGTGTTTTTTTTTCCAGTGAACCAATGGTGTGCCTATGCTCCTTCCTATTGAGTAAAAAGGGTCCTTTCACCCTTAACAAAGTCCCTCCTTCGTAAACTTGAAACAGCTGCCAGTCTTCTCGACAATTGAAGCTTCTCCAATGCGTTTAAATTTACGTAGGGTATGAGCGATCTCGCTTTTCTTTGACCTTAAATTCAAAACGTCGCTTTTTTTCAGTTCATTCTAATAGAAATGAGAGCGTTCTAATGGCAAAATGTATTGTAACGATACTTAACACACTCAATATCTCAGTAAATCTTACTTACACTTTACAACTCAATAACTCAGTCAATATGACAAACGCATTCAATGATGTTGAACGCCTGTAACGCCTTGATACAACTATTCGTACTTTAGGAACACGCGTGTTGCGTGTGAAAAAATTGAAGGAGCTCCGGTCACTCGTGTCCATGAAGCAGTACACGCAGCAGCGTATGACGCTCCGTCGCGAATAAGTCGCAAGATGAAATTGTTTGATGAAAACGAAGACAAGAGGACAGGAGAGGATATTTTTGCACTATTTCCACGTATCAGGATTTTACATCCCACCCCCACACCGAGTCGTGACAGCGTGTTGCTGTCTCGTGGGCTAGAATGACCGGAGCGCCTTCAGTTTTTAGTATGCAACACGGATGTCCATAGAGCAAGAATTGTTGCATTAAGGCAAGGCGCCATTACCTATATCATTGTCTAATGCTCGGATACATGGCCGTATTTCTGTCAAACGGAACCATGTGCATTAAAACATGAGCTCTGAGACCCATAAGAATATATGCATAACAGGTCTCATGTCATAATACACATAGTTCCGTTTGACAGAAATACGTCATATCAATACTGAAGCCCAAATAAAAACGCCGTATGCACACTCGAGCGCTATAAAATGTCCTCCAATTAATACGAATTTTTAAATTTTTAAAGAATTTTCTGTGCGATTGAATCCAATGATTCTAAACATTTCAAGGCAATATAATATATCTGGCTTTCCTTTAAAAAAAATAATGGCAAGTAAGAGATTTGGCAAAGCCCGGATTTTCAGGCGAATTTTTAGGCACTTTCAGATGAGGCAATAAAAAATTTGCGTGCAAATTCTCCATTGTGCCCAAAAAATAGATTAAAGATCAATCCAGGCTACGCGTCAAAAAAACATTAGTTATCTTGGTTAGGAATGAATATCAGTAATTTACGTCGCTCCAGTTGTGTTCTCCGTGAAATTATAGTCGAATTTCATGTATCAAAATGCTTAAATTCGTACCATGTCGACTGGTTCATTCTATTTGAGAGGCCCGTCATTTTAAATTTCCCGCGACGAAAGTCCGTCAAATTGAATTTCCCGCAAAACTCATTAACCAATCATGATATTTCCCGCAAAAACTCATTAACCAATCATGATATTTCCCGCTAATGTTAAAATATGCTGCTAGCCAATTGTATTACAGTCAACCAACCAATCATGATTGAGTTTCGTTATCACCTTTTGTTTACCTTTTTGCGGTGCCGGAGGTTTGAGGTTAGCGGCATGGATAAATATATAATACGTAGTAATATGTTTATCCATGTTAGCGGCCTTCTCATTTGTAAAAGGCAAAAGAAAACTTTGTTGTGATATCAATATATCTTTTTGATGTTTTCACATTCATGTTTTTCACTGACAATGAGTTTTCATTTTGTCACATCGTACGGACGTATCCTAATTCCTTCTGTGTAATTAGTTTTTTGATATTTTCTACTTTCCTTTTGTTTTACACACTTTTAACAAAATGATTCCAAGGTACTTAACTTTGCACTATTTGCATAATTGCATGCATGCATAATATTTTAGTTGACCCTTCATATTCCGGTATCGTTGTCGTGTTCTTTGCTCATTCTTCTTCTAAAAGTATTATTCGTCAGTTTTCTTTGAGTATCAAGAGAACTTTAGCTGACATCCAAATAAAACATTCTCCTTCAGTAGGTAATGGTGGAAGATTCAGATAAATATTCACTTTCAAATCGAAAACTGCTCCAAATTCTCTAGTCTCACCAATTCTTAATTTTTCCAAGCCTATGAATCATGAAATCATTGTAGGTAACATAAGTTGCTGAAATTGCCTCTATTCGCCAACATCTCAATATAGTTTGTCCTGCAGTCCTCTCCATGTGTCATATTCAAGTCAACTCATTAGCATAGACTTTGCCGGAAAGGAATCATCAAACTTGGGTAAATGGTGTCTTGTTCACTTATTTTCTTGCATTTTCCTTTACATTTCATACAGCTGGTTTGACAGAGAAGGGGACTTATTTCCTCAGTTCCTAGCGATATTGTATTTTTGCAATTTTGTCCAAGTGTTAGTTGTTTACGTTTGAAAACTAATGCAGGTAGGTTGTTGTTGGTTTGTAGGTTACAGGCAATCTAGCCTTGCGCAGGCTAATCGGCCTATTTCTTGGATATCCATTTCGAATTGAGTTTAACACGCCTTCAGTTGAGTATAGATAGGTATGTGAAAGTAATGAGGAAACTAATATTTCCTCGATGATGATCAACTCCAATCCAAGCCTAACTTCATTACCTAAAAGCACAATTTGGAATCAGATTATACCTACCAGCATTAGGTATGTTTCGTTATATGGGGGAGAGAATAAATTTTGAGATGGATACCTACTTACAGGTGCGAGAATTCTAGTATACTAGTATTCATTATTCTGTTTTTCTTTTTCTCAGGTTCAAGAAGTTTGCAGTGTAACACAGAGGGAAAATGTCAGTGTAAACCTGGAGTAACTGGAGACAAATGCGATAGATGTGATGTCAATCATTATGATTTCAGTAACCAAGGTTGTAAGAAGTGTGAGTGCTCAGCGGATGGCTCTTATAACAACACCCCACAATGTGACCCTACCACAGGTGTCTGCTTATGTAAGGAAAACGTAGAGGGGAAACGCTGCCGAAAGTAAGAATCTGTTAAAACGCTTTGATTCTAAGTAGTTCATCAGCTTCCTAATACACATGAAGTTTTTCCACATAGTCTGAACTTAGAAGTTCAGAACTTTTTTTGAAATAATTGCTGAAGAAAAACAGAGAAAAGAAAACTTGAGAGAGCAAAGAGGATCTTCCTGAATAAACCACCTATGGAATGTTAAGTAGCGAATAATTGTCTGAAGTCTCTTGGTTTAAAATTTTAATTCATTTGTGCCCAACTAGGTGGCTCCGCCCCCTGGCCGCTACGCTGCGAACAAAAGCGTCAAAATCGCCCGGACAAATCAAATTGAAATTGCTTAAACTAAATTAAGAATTGTAAAAAAAGATTCCGCATCAACAACTAACAGCAAATAAAAAAACAGATATTGAACTCCCCTTCCTGACTCCAGCTCATCGACCGTCCTAATCCCCTTCCTCACCCCGTCCATCGACCGTCGTCAAAATGATTTAAGTAGAATAGAGAGGATCATGTTTCAGCCGGCACAAAATAATGCAGCTCAGAGCTTTGTTGTTAGTGATATTTTTGTATTTGCCAAAGAAAAAGAGAAAGGAAAAAAAAACAGCTACACTCAATACTTTGTTAAGTATTCCATAGTAAATAAGTACTTGTTCAGTATTTTAATATAAATATTGAGGGCCCTTCATCAATATAATTATTCTTCTCTTTTGCAGGTGTAAACCCGGCTATTTTAATTTAGATGCTAACAATGATTATGGTTGTACCCCTTGTTTCTGCTATGGTCATTCTTCTGTTTGTCAGTCGGCACCTGGTTATGCTAAAGGTACGATTTTGCCTCAAAATTCTTTTCGATTTTGCGCTTCAATTTTTTCAATTTTTTTTTTTTTTTATCTTCCAACTGTTAATTTGAAATTCATTGCTTCGAAATAAAAAGGTTGCAAGCGTTTATAGGAAGAAGAGCCACATCTTAGGAACACCCATTGATGAAAGCATTTGCTACCAAAATCCCCTCTGACACCGAGCACACCTTGAGCAGGAAATTCAGTCTTTAAGTGCGCTCCCTCAAGAGGAATTGAACACTTGTCGTAGAGGGATTGTGGGGGGCCCCCTCTTCCATAAAACTTGAAATTTTGACCTCTCTTCATCACAATTTGTAACATTTTTACACACTTTTTATGAGGGGGAAGGAATTGAAAATAGCCACCTCTGGACTTAGCTCCAAGCCTTTAAGAAAAAAGGAAAAATGCTATGTCCTGAGACAACTAAAAAATTTATATCGAAGAGAGAAGGGGAAAAAACTTAGTGGCGCTGGCCCCCTAGGTAAATGCCTGGTGCGCCTATACCATAAATCCGGTCCAGCACGAATGTTTCAATTTACTCGGTGAAATTATTTGTTGTCACATTTTAACCAACTTTTCATGATTAGTTTGGTACATCCATTTTTTTCATCAGTTTCATCTTTAATTATATTTATGTTAATGTGTGAACTGCACATCAGGAACTAAATGAAATATTTTCTTTTCACAGTGGAAATTGAAAGCTCCTTCATCCGTGGAAATGAAAAATGGTCAGTTGAAGAACTCAATGGACCTACAAGCCCAGCAATCTATCACAACAATTTGCAAGCCATTGAGGCATCTGCTCCTGGATACCTTCCGGTGTATTTTGTTGCACCAGGTAAATTGAAATTTAACCATTCATTTCATATGAACTGACTTATTCCAGTAGCTTGGTGGCAATATTAATGCCTATTATCTGCTTGGCCATAGAAAAATTGAAAAAATAGGTAGGTTTATTGGATCACGGATATCCAGAAATTATAATGAGAGGCTCTTCTAGTGCATTTCATACTTTCTGTTCGTTGTTTTGTACTCCCAAGGATGCAGAAAGTACCAAGCCTTTCCCAAAATCCATTGACTTTCCTCCTTTTTGACAGAAATTCATGATCAGCTCCTCCTGAAAGCTCAAAAAAAGAATGTCCTCCTCTGTATTAAGGGAAAATGTCAACAACAAAAAATTTAACAGGTTTCTCCTAAGTTATCTTCTTTGGAGTGCCTTCCATATCAAACAACCAGCATGCAACAGGAATGGTTGCATGATTGGGAAGTATCTGTATCCATGCGTGTTCAATAAACGTTTGAAGATCTAAACAGAAATCTCGTAAATTTGCTTTTAAACTTTATTTCTAGAAACAAATCACCTCTAACATGCCATGAAAATAATAATGGTGATTAGACTCATCTTATTTCATCCTTTCGATTGTGTAATCTCAGAAGCCACATCCAAAAATGCATGCACAGACTTTTTTTTCAGGGTCATGGTAACCAGTATAGCTTCGTGCTCTATTGCTACTTTAATGTTTTTCCTATTCTTTTTCTCATCGTGTAGATAGATTTCTGCGTGATCAAAGAGCCAGTTACAATCAAGATCTGGAATTCAAGTTACGAATTGGAGAAAATGCACCAAAACCAACAATTGAGGATATCATTCTGGAAGGAGGAGGTCTTCGAGTTACGCAAACGATTTTTGGTCAGGCTAATCCTCTTCCATCAGATTCTGTAAGTGATTCAACATACTCCAATCTCTAGCCAATAATGTCTCTGGCTTTTTAGTTGTTGTTCTTGTTGTATATATCTGCGCTGCGCACCTTTGGTTTGCTTGTCTTTTCTTTATTTTTTGTTATATTTTAAAATCTATGAAAAATTCATAACTGAGCAACAATTTTCTATTAAGAGGTTTAAAAAATAACATTTCTTCCAAGGCATGCAAAGTGGAGGAAGATTATTCTTCAAATGCTTTCCCAAATGCGGATGGATTTCAGAGAAATTGCCAGTAGTTTAGCAATCACTTTGATACCATGTAGAAAGACCAGTATATCATTTAGTATCTCACAAAATTATGGCTGTAATGTTAACAATTGGGTATCACAAAATTAATGGTAGAACTTAAAACACTACATCTTGATCGCAGCGTTTCAGAATTTTCAAGAAATTTACCATCGAACATTTTCATACCTACTACATATATTTTCAAGGAGGCAGATTAAATTCTATGCCACATCAATGAACAGTCGTTCTTCAACGAAATGAAATATGCCCAAAAATCTGCAGCGTTGCCAAACCGAGTTTTGTTTTTCCTATTTTACCATCTATGTAGAAAACCCAGGGTTGTTCGCAATTAGTTCACATCGCTAATCGTATAAAGTGTTTTTAATGAACTATCAATTTAAATTTTTACAAATCTGAGTCTGCATTTATTAAACGGTTTATGATGTATTTAGAAAATGATTAAGACTCAATAAAAAATCTCATATCCTTTTTTTTTTCAGGCTTACAATTATAAATTTAGACTCCATGAACATCCAGACCATGGATGGCAACCTCGCTTGTCATCTAGAGATTTCATCAGTATCTTAGCAAATCTGACTGCAGTTAAAATCAGAGGAACTTACACAGCCCGAGGTAACATAATTTTGTCATTCCTAATTAAATCTTTTTGAGAAGTGCTATCGGAACAATATACATTTGTCACTATTAATTTTTCTCATACATAACTATTGTTTTTTGGTTGCTGACTGCCGATGACAAAAGTTGCAAATAACTTGTACAGAGAATATTTTCAAGAGCTATTGTAGGTTATTAGAATTGAAACGAAAATAATTGCTATTTTTCTGCCCGTGTAGTGAAAAGTAACTTACATAGGTAATACTATCAGTAAGTAAATACCTGGCAATTCATCCCAGAGTATTTCAAAAATTGAGTCACCGCCTGTTAAAGTTGAAAAGAAGTACACTCACTAAACCTGACCTTCAAGTTAATGTTAGAGCTGTATTCCTTTAAACATTGAAATAAAAAGTGTGACCTCAGAATGATAAACGTGTAGCTGTTAAAAGTGTTCAGTTACTCACAAGCACAACATTGTTGCAATTAGTATTACAAAAGTTTCAATAAGTCCAAATTCCTCCCAGATTTTCAATTTTAAATGATCATATTCAATGTTCATATGTTCTCGTAGGTGTCGGTTTCCTCGATGATGTGAAACTAGACACTGCCAGGCGTGGAGCAGCTGGTTATCCTGCCACTTGGTTGGAAATGTGCACTTGTCCAGATGGTTATGTAGGAGAGTTTTGTGAGTCTTGCGGTCCTGGTTTCAGGCATGAGCCTGCCAGTGGAGGTCCATTTGCCCCTTGTGTGCCATGTAACTGTAACGGTCATGCAGATATTTGTGATAACGAATCAGGTATTTCTCCTTTTTTTTCTCTTGTAATTTGTAAGGCCATCATAGATGGGAATACATGTACCAGGAATGCATTCGAATATGCCTCTATTGATACTTTTGAAATGACCTCTTCAGACTTAAGCACTCTTACAACACCAAGGCTTTTTGTTTGTTTGTTTACATTAAAATTTAATTTTCCCTCTTATGGTGCGCTTCTGTTTTTTTTTCTGTTATTTACTGTGAAATAGAGCACGAAGAGGAAACAAAAAGTAATGAGATTAAACAAAGAATACTGCCTCTATGTTAGGTACTTATTAGCGGCTTTACGGCTATAATTAAGAGCCGAAGAGGTGTAAGTAACAGTTTTGGAATAATCGAGTTCTTTGCATTCTCAACTTACTTAGTAACAGATTGTACGTGTGAAAAAATTATGGGGTGATTTAGGGTTATACATGGTTATATCAAGGTGATACATGGTTTTAAATTTGAAAAATATGCTGCAAGCAATGGAGCTATTGTATGGTTGTCCCCCGATTTCTTGAAGTGTTGAACATGTAGTTCCGGTTTTTTAGCCCTCATGTACAGAAATATCCTTCTAATAAATGTATTCAGAGTATTTACCTATGACTGTCCATAGGTCATAACAAAGAAGGCCTTTATGCCAAATGAATCAAACTTGAGATTTTTAAACTATTGCTCAGAAGAGTCTTACAAACATTTTGGAATGAAAAAGTTTAACTAGATCTGAGGAATTATGGTTCGAAATATGCAGTCAATAAAATGTAATACTACTTTAAAGCTATCTAATCAGCCAAGGCTGATTATTAGGCTTGTTAGGGGTTGAAAAGTTTAGGATTAAGAATTTTAAGAATGCGATATTTTTCCTATAAAAAAACCACGCCTTTTTTACGTTGACTTTCTTTGTCAAATTTGGCACATAGTTCTTCAGTCTCATGACAACAGAAGTGCAATCTCTATATTCGAAAAAAATGACAAGTAACTGAAATTATGGAACAAATCGATGCGATATATCGCTTGTCGCTCAGACACAGAAAATGGCGTTCGTCAAATCACCTTAACAGAAATTACTTTCCTCAATTTACCTCCATGAACGATGGTCTTTTTTCACAGATGACATTTGCATAACCATAGCTTTACGTATTTTTTCAGATGTTTTAACGTCCAAACTTTAAAATCATCGCTTATTTTGCCTGTTCTGTAATTTCATTACGATTCCTCATTCATTACGTATTCTTACTTCTTTTAATTTCGCAAAGTATTTTACTAATTGTTTTGCATTTTGACTTTAGGTCGTTGTATCTGTCAACACAATACTGCAGGTGATAATTGTGAGCGCTGTGCACGGGGCTATTACGGGAATGCCTTGTCTGGCTCTCCCTATGGCTGCAAACTTTGTCCTTGTCCAAATCAAGGAGCTTGTATTCAATTAGCCGATGAAACCATTGTATGTCTTGAATGCCCAAAGGGTTATGGAGGTAATATTCAAATTTTCTTGTTTCTTTAACAACTTAGGATTTCAAGGACAATTTAGTAGATGGACGTGTTCAAAACCTCCAAATTCAGCTCATCAGTGAGCAAATAGTGGTTTTTAAGCAAGTCAACCAGAACTTTTTGCTCTCAGAAAACCACATTCTACTGGAGTCAAATCAGGTTTTTAAGTATTCTTAGTAGCATTGGCTGTGTGGGAAGAAAAATTAAAGTACCTACTCGTCAATTTCCTAGATAAAACTCTCAAAAAAAACTTTTGGAAAAATGTTTGCTCTTTATTAGTAAATCTGAAGAAAAATTCGATATCAAATTTTAGTTTTCCGTAATGTACATTTTGCAGTTCATTTTATGTTCAGCATCAACTCCAGTGATTTCCAGAATTTAACCAAATTCTGACGCCAGTTTTTTTTGTTAATAATGTTTTTCGTAAATTTCACGTAATACTAGAGCAAGAACAAAAAAGGCTCCACACAATAATTTTTTTTTTCAAGTTCAAACTTAACAGGCAACCACCAAGGTAGTGTCAGTATATACCAACTCCCAGCAAATGATCAGCTGAAATATTTATTTTGAACGCAATGTTTTATTTTAGGGCCTCGTTGTGAGCTGTGCAGTGATGGGTACTATGGAGACCCAGCGGGGAAAGCGGGTCCAGTCCGATTATGCCAGCCTTGTGACTGCAGTCAAAATGTTGATGCTAATGCAATTGGTAACTGCAACCGAACAACTGGTGAATGTCTGAAGTGTATCTATAACACTGGTGGTCCAACCTGTGCTGAATGTTTACCAGGTGAGTCTATCTATTATGCCAAGAGGACTTTGGATAAGATGGCTATCCAGTCAACCGAACAAATCTTTCATCCACTGACTCATTACTTTCACACCTCCAGTCCATGGGGAAAAGAAGTGTTTTAAAATGAAGTGTGTCATGCCTCTCTCAGATATTTTTCTAGACTAGGTTTTTGAAGGAAAAGTAATCCTTTCAAGTAGACGCATATGAAAATGACTGAAAATTCAGTTTTCAATCACAAAATTTGAGATTCTTTTTGGAATGTGTACATATGTCACTCCTATAGCACATTCTGGCGCTCTGCAACACCCAAATGCCACATGCGCCTATCCTATCTTCCCAAAGGTTTTCGGGCAATTGACAATGCAACATTTCTTCTTTCATACCTTGCTGCCATCCTTTCATGAGATGTCCCTGTCGTTGCACAGAAATTTTATTTCCACCAAGTTTTCAAGAATGTATAATAAAGCTGGCTTGCACATTTGCAGGATTTTATGGTGATGCCCTTGCCACTCCGAAGGGTGACTGCAAACCATGCCAGTGCTACAGTCTTGGAACAGTCGAAACTCAAGATGGACCCCCAGTCTGCGATCAGTTGACTGGCCAGTGTCAGTGCAAACCTCATGTTGTTGGAACCAACTGCGACCAATGTGAAGCAGGATTTTACAACATTGGCTCTGGCACGGTATGTAAATCTAAATACCTTAAATATACCTTGAGAGTTCAAAAATTATATGGACGAGCGTCGTAATTGGAAAACAAAGCAACCTACCAAGTAGATCAAATTTGAAGCAAAATACCAAGAAAATTCTGTGAAACCAAGATCAATTTATTTGAATAAAAATTTGCTAAGTTATGGTAGTATGAATGAAGGATGTATGGCAGCGGCGCCTACATTTTTTTTTTTTTTTTTTTTTTTTTTTTTTTTTTTTTTCAAAAAAATGTATTCTTACTAAAAAGTGCCAGTGAAACTTTTCAAATGCTCAATTGCCAACAAATTCTGCTTGATGACAACACAACTTGGTAACAATGTCTAGATGGTGTGCATCTCAAAACATAACCGTTAGTATTTAATGATGCATGAATTTGACAATGAAATTGTTACGCCAAAATGGTTGATGAAGTTACTGCTGTGAGGGTTGTTCTCTTATGCATGCTTGTCTCATGCAGCTTTTCATTGTTCCTTGTACCTCATTTGCTACTGTTTTTTAAGGAAAATTCCCTTTCAAATAAGTTGATTCTGATCTCAGTTTATTTCTGTCCATGCCCTCTTTCACATAAAACTAATTGAAAGACTAATTTCATAAGATGCTCAGTTTTTGAATGACAGCGCCAGTCCGAATTATTTTGAAACACTCCATTTATTTTTGTATGATTCTACTCAAGTGGATTCAATAGATTAGAATCTCTCTGTAGTCATTAATTTAGGTTTGAAGGTTTGAAGATTAACCTCATTGTCCAATGAGACCATTATCTGATAAGAAACTTGGTAATCCTTTGTGCCAAGATTATACTGGTCGTTAGAAGTTTCCTAGGAATATTGTATGGTGCAAGACACTTCTTCACATTCATTGAGTGCCTTTATAGTTTTTTTTCTATCCAGAAGAGTGTGACAGAACTAATTTTCTTTTTTGTTCCTAACAGGGTTGTCAGTCTTGTAATTGTGACCCGATTGGTTCCTTCAACCAAACCTGTGATCCTTATTCTGGTCAATGCTTGTGTCGTCCTGGTGTGACAGGTCTGCGCTGTGATGTTTGTCAACCCTACTATTATGGATTCTCCCTCGAGGGCTGTAAACCATGCGAGTGTGATAATATTGGTTCCTCAAACCTCCAATGTGATGCCTTTGGGCAATGTCCAGTAAGTTAATATTCTCTTCATCCTCAATCGCACAGCTCCAAAACTGAAATGATTCAAAGTGTTTGGTTGGATAATGCGATTCATTTATTTTGTCTTTTAGGAATCAAAAATGAAGATGAAATTTCTTGTAAAATTTCTTATCAAAAAAATAAAGAAGCAGGAAAGTTACTTTAATATTTCTTTCACCAATTGGCTTTTCTAGGAAGCTTTCTAGAGATGAAATTGACGTATTCAAGTAAAATGATACTATCTCCATTGTGACGTGGGCCCTTCTACCCGGCAACTGCCAAAAAAATAAAACATTCCAAATATATTGCTGCTAAGTTAATTGTGGTAGTAACATTGTGACAAAGTTTTTGCAATCATTTTTTGCCAAGCGGGCAGTCATGCATTTATTCTAATGTGCGGCCAAGGTCACAATGGAGCTAGTTCTGTTTTATTTAAACATGTCCATTTGAATAATTTCAATTATCCGTCTCCTAATGAAACCCAATCCTTCAAAATTCTCCGTGTGGATGATAAACAATCCAGATTTGGACGAAGAAATTAAAACAGATGCCTCCAATATTTTAGTTCCAACAGCACACAATACAGGCACTAAGGTGTTACTTTTACCTACTTTTTTTTCATGTAAATTCATACGAAATCTTGTAGCTTGCTTTAAATCGTTATATTTACAATATTTTATTGACGCACAACATATTTTCAACTGTTAAAACACTTTATTTCAGTGTTACGAAAACGTGGAGGGCCGGCGGTGTGATCACTGCAAGGAAAACAAGTATGATCGCCAGAGAGGCTGTATCAATTGTCCTCCTTGTTATAATTTAATTCAAGATGCCGTCAACATTCACCGCTCAAATCTCACCTACCTCGGCAAAGTGCTGTCAGATATAGCCAACACTCCAACGATTATTGATGATCAGGACTTTAAGAATAAACTACGAGATGTTTCACAGAGCATTGACACTCTTTGGAAGGAAACTGGAAGTGGCACTGCTGGTAAGAATTTTTTTCCCCCTTAGCTTGAGGAGATTAGAATTCTTCCTTGTCATTTATTACTCCAATTTCGATCTAGATTGTCTCACAAAAAATTGTTTCCATTTTCATTTACATGCATGACTTCGCACTGATTCATTTTTCACATCAACTGAGTGTGGCATCCAACCAACCCATTAATTCTAATGAAAGGACAAAAAATGCTGATACCCTCAATTATTAGTATGTATTTTTTTTCTATTGTAAAATGCAGCTTTCTGTAAAAAATATTTAATGAATTAAATTGTTAGGTTTGACTTTCCTAAGTCACAGTTGAATGTAAAGCAGCTCCTCACTATAAACATCTAACTTACAAGAGCAATCCTTCTACAATTAGGTTTTATCGGGGAAAAACTTGTTTCTTTGTTTCAGGAGGCGACGGGGATAAAACGCTCTCTGAAAAAATTAGTGATCTTCATAAACGTTTAGCAGATGTCAAAATTTTGATGGATCAAATAGGCAACTGGACCTTGAAAGCTGGAGTAATAACATCTCAGGCTGCTCAGAATGTCTCTGTGGTTGAAAAGACAATTGAAAAAGCCGCAAACATCTTGCAAGAAGCTTCTAACTTTTTACAGACAGAGGGTGCAGCTGCTTTAAGTAAAGCTGTAGAAAGGAGTACAGCATTTGGTCAACAAAGTGAACTAATGTCAAAAATCGCCCGAGAGGCTAGAGTTCTTGTTCAAAATCAAGAGGATGAGTTTGAGAAAACCAAGGAGATTGCTGAAAAAGCGGTGAATATTTCTATGGAAGCCTACGAAACTGCAAAGGATGCAATCGGTAAGCAAAAAAATACAAGTGATGAGCTGAAGAAATTAGGAAATGACTTGTCATTCACAAAAGAAAAATTGGACTTGACAATTAGTGATACTTCAGACACAAAAAAATTGGTCGATGAGGTCCATACAGAGGCATTGGCTATCTATCGTGATATTTATGCTCTGTCCATTCCAGACTCTAATTTTGAAGATTTAAAAGCAGAGGCCGAATTAGCCGCCAAAAAAGCCAAAGCACTCAAAGATAGTGCTGAAGAACTGCTCCTGAACAATGATGGATTCTTGACGGACCTCGGAAAACAGATTAAAGAGGCTGAAACCACCCTTGGACTTGGCGAAGAACAGCAAAAAATCACTGATGAGCTTCTCGCTGATGCTGACGCAGCCAAATCCCTGGCTGAGCAAGCTGTGAAGAAGGGAGATGACACCCTAAAAGAAGCCCAGAACACATATAATACTTTGAAGACATTCGATTCAGAAGTTAAAGCAAGTAAAGAGCAAGCCAAGAAAACTCTTCTAACAACAAGCGAAATTGAGAAAATAATCATTGAGGCTCGGGACAAATCTGAGACAGCAGCAGCCTCCTTACCCAGCGCGGAACACAATGCTAACAGCGCCAAAGATAATGCTAAACAAGCACAAGATAAATTTGCAAAACAGGCTGCTATTGATGCTGACCAGATCAAGAGACGAGCCGAAGAAACTAAACAAGAAGCTGGCAAATTGCGAGAGGAGGCAGATAGTTTGTCTGATCGAGTGGCAGATACGACCTCTAAAATTAATCAGCTAGAAACCAAAGCGAAAGCTCATCAAAACATAACAGACGAGGCCAAAATCAAGGTTGGCCAGGCTAAGACTAAAGGCTCGGATGCATTGAAACAAGTAGAAAAAGCTCAGGAAGAGGTTGATTATATATTGAAAGCCTTGAGCGATCTTACAGATATTGACGAAGAGACTTTGAACAGGTTGGAAACTCGATTGGCTGCAGCACAAGCAGAATTTGACAATGCGAACGTCAATGAACAGCTGAAAACACTAACAGCTGCTAAAATTACGCAGACAAATCTCGTCAAAAGTTACAAAGATGAAGTTGAAAAATTAAAGCTGGATGTTCATAATATTGATGAGATTCAGAAAAGCCTTCCTAAGGATTGCTGGAAAAGATTTAAGCTAGAACCTTAAATTCTTAGTTGATTTTCGATGTTTATTTGAACTCATTTGTGGACTGGTGTGTTCTTTTTACCAAGTTACCTTTGCATTTTTCCAATTGTTGTTCTTTCCCCCGAACTCTTGTGTTTAGCTACTTAAGATTGGACGAATTTGATTTATTCTTGTAAATGAGCAGGATTTAGGTGTCTAGGTCAAAACTGGAAGCAGATAAGTAATTGCAATCAAAAAAAATTTTATCTCATTAAGTTTAGTCCCTGAAAATCTCTTAATTTTACGGAGATAGCCTAATTGGTATCTTTAGTTTCTGAAACAGCTGAAGTGTAAGTAGATAAATTTCTTGCAGATTGCTTTGTTTCAAAGTTGCCTGCTACATATAACTCAGGTAACTTTTGCCGGGAGAATGTGTAAGTTTTTCAAAGCTTTCAGCGAATTATTTTAAAAACAGGTTTTCACATTAGATCAAAAAATTTTCAGACATTTGTTCTCCCAGGTGATAAAATGTTGTACTTACTTTTGAGATGAGAGCCCCCTGCAAGAAATAGATGAAGTTGAATTGATTCTTTGCGAAAGGGCTTACAGCCATCAAATTATTCGAAGCGGACAGTTCTTATTTGTAGGGATGAACAACTGAGAGAATCTCTCATAAAATTTTACCAAAAGTTGGTTGTAAGAAGAAATATACCCCTTTTATCTCTGGAAATTTGCTCAGTTGTCCATCTGTACAAAGATAAAGTGTCCTTGGCAACTATGTAATGTTTCATTGGGCTAACAAGTATGACATAGATTATTTTATCTTTTGTATGATTTTTTGTGCCATTCATCAACTAATTTTAAGTTTTAGTCGTTTGATATTTGCTTGTTGGTACCTTCTATGCAAGGAACAGTATCCCGTAGAAATTTACTTTGAAATTCTGCAAACAATAAGACTGAATTAATTCTGCTGAAGAGTAATATTTTAGTTTTCAACCGTTTCTTTTATTACATTTAAGAAAAAATCTATTAGTTTGTAAATAGAGATGAATTATTGTGCTGATTTAGTTATCCAATTCCTTTTCCACCTCTCCCCAAAGATTTTTCCGGGAGTTAACAACCATTTTTGACAGAATTCTGTTTTAGTTTTCAATCCTTCCTAAAACAACTTTAGTGTTGATCGTTAAGTTAAATTAAGCAACAAAGCTGAGAGTTTTCTTTTTAATTTGGTTCAGCATTCTGGAATCAAAATGGAGACAGTAAAATTCAAACGGTCAGTTCTTTGTAGGTTTCATCTTTCAGATTAAGGTCGGTTTTTCCAATTATAATCGACAAGAAGAGATATACGCTAATCATTCTGATGAAGGCATCCAGAATTTATACTCGTATTGACATTTAGTGCGGGTTTTTCCAAGTTTCTGCAGTAGGTATAATCTGAGCTTCCCTTAAGTTTTTTTTTATTGTTGTTTGTTTCTCATCTCTTTCATTTTCAATGTGAGATGAGCATCTAGCGATGCATTAAATAATATATAGGGCGAGGGAGGATTGAAACCTACACGGGTTGAGCAAGGAGCTTCAAAACATTGAGCTTATGCCTGGCCCCAGTTTAAGAATGACCCTTACCTCAAATTATTTCCCTTTTGAGTATGTTTGAGACTCAAAAAATAGTATAATTTTTATAATTTTTTGAATTAGCAGACCCAAGCATGAAAAATTTGTTGTAACTTTGTTATTTTATCTCAAACCTGTACCAGCTTCTTTACCATTTTTGCCTCCAGTAAAGTTAGTTTTAAGCAAAAGTAGGTCCGGTAGCCATATAGTTTCCTTACAGGATGAGTAGACAAGGTCTAAATTGAAATTCATTGTCGGGTATTTTCTTCTTTAAATTTTAAATTTTGCATCATGTGTATGTGAAAATTTTCAAAATCAACTTCTTGACGAGCGATCATCAAAGGTTTTTGACCTCTATACTTCAAATGTTCCGCTCCTACAGAAATGAAAGTCCTCTTGATTGTACAATTAACTGTTTATATTTTCAAGAAATAGAAACAACTGTCTCAGAATTTTATTCCAAACGTTGCAAGAGACCATTGAACATTCCAATAACATTTCTGTCCTACAAGTTGATCTTCAAAATGTCAATTGCATTCTGTTCAAATGTCTGATGAGGAGCTTAAATTACTGACTTGATTTAGATTTTGTCTTCTGATCCATTGCACTTGGATCTCAAAAAATACATTCTATTGGTGGAGCTTCATACGTTTGATTACAATCAACTTTAAAATTCAAGGCCCTGTATGTACAATTAGTATTGTAATCAGTCATGAGGCTTTAATTTAAGAGTTTTATCACAAAGAATCTAAAGCATTGCTGCGTTTGCCTCAAGGGAACACATAAAAATTAACAGTAGAGTAGGTAATGAAGTTTCAACTTTTTTGGAAAGCTGCCATAATGATTATAATGTAATATATTATTTACTACTTTGAAAAAAAAGGAGAAAAATAATGGTGAGCCACCAGGCAACTATTACAAAAAAAATGTGTATATTTTGTAAATAACACTAGTTTAATTTATTGAATGTAAATTTTCATTGTTAATTTCATTACTAGGTAAGTAGTCAGTACTTCAATAGTGCATTTTCTTTGATGATTCCGAATTTGAAAATACATTTTGTCTCATCAATAAATTTTTTATTTTCCCGCGTCAATGATCCATAACCTTTAACATTATATTACATCATGAGAACATAAGTTTTCAGGAGATGTACATTTTTTGTAACTCTCTAAATCATTTTTCGGAAGTTTAATGTCATTGGAACTACCCCAAATAGTAGGGGTCTCCATATTTGCATCCCAGTTTTGTGTAAAAAACATACTAAAAACCAAGATACTAAGAATGTAAGTAAATATTTTGAGCTCTCTGAATTCGGAAAACCTAATTATGATCTTCATAATTTTAGTGCTGATCAAACAAGCAGTTCCTCCCTCATCTCACGCTCAAAATTCAAAATTGACAGCGTTCCACTTCATTTTAACGGAATTTTTTCTTCTTACAGGATCTTCAATGAAAACCAGATTTAGTGACAAAGACAAAGCATTAACTGTATAGGCACTGTGATCCTATTGAGGGGAGGGAGGAAAATGCTTGTCGATGGCCAAATTGCGAAACCTTGTATCTCCGTTTGTGACTTCGCAGACTTCCGGTCATATTTTATTTTTTCTTTGGAAAACTGGCTAGCTCAATCTCTTGAAAACTTCCTTTATTTTTTGTCTCTATTAGCAGAATATTCTGTAGCAATTTCAAGCTATAGAGTTCACTTGTTTCTCATCACAAAAATAAAATAGGAGCAGAGATTTTGAAACACTGCAGTGGAGACATGGTTTCGCACTTAAGCCATTGAGGTGTACTTACAGTAAATTTTTTTATATCGGGGTGCCCTACCTGTTAAAAATAAGCTACATTTTTTAATTTGATTGATGCCGAAACTCTGAGAATACCTATAGTGAATTGAAAAGTATTTATAGGTAACACAAGGTCATTAAGAAGCAAGGTTTTTCCATTATTTTAATTTTCTTTCATTAACCAAAATGACAGTCAGAGGGAAAACGGACCTAACACTGAAATACTCAAAATGGAGATACCTATCAGTGAAGCACTAGTGAATGTAATGGGAGTTCAAAAAGCGCCCCAAGATGTCAGTGAAAACTTTAAGTTAACATTGGCCCAGTTGGCAGCTCAAAATATGCGATTTTGAGGAAATGGTATTTTTATAATGCTACTGATACAAAAATAAAATGAACGGAACGCTTTATACTCTTTGTGATTTGTACTTAGGAGAAAATTTTCCAGCAAAAACTCCACGGCTGATTTATCGGCCCAATTTATGACAAAAAAAACTCTTTTGAAAAATGTGCCCATGCATACACAGAACGATCACAATTAGATGTAGGTACTGATAGTTCGAACTTCTATTTTTGGTTAATCTTCAGGTTTTACAAATATCTCCATTTATTATTTCCTTAAATTTAGTGTTATCAAAACGGGGAAAAAAAGACAAAAAAATCAAAATTCAAAGAAATTTATTTAAGCTATACTGTATCTGGGGTCTCCTTTTTTTTTTTTTTGAGTAGAAAAGCGTAGAAAAAGGTAACAATGAAAGAACAAATGGAATTAACACGGTGGAAGGTTAACAGAGACTACCGCTGAGACTCAACCATTTGTAACAAATTTTGTAAAGACATCTGCGCATGATTCAAAAAATCATCAGAGACATCGCATCGCTGTAACATATCATTGAGCTTAGAAATATTTTCTGCAATTCTAGATCTAATGGAATTAGTTTCGTCTAAACTACAATTTGCGGGAGAAGATGATTCACTTTCAAATACTTCAATTTCCTCTATCAAAGCTGCCTTATCTTCTTGAACGTGTTCCTCTGGTAAAATTAAATCAATAGAACTTTCCTCTATTACTTCTTCTTCCTCAATACGATTCTCTTCTTCGCTGCAAATTTCTACTTCATCTTGAACGCACAGACTCATCATATCAAAGGGGTGGAAGTTGACAAGTTCTGGCTCTGAAATTTCTTGAGCTGCTGTTTCAAACACCTGAATATCTTCAATTATTGTCTCAGCTTCAGCAATATTTTCTTCATACAAAGTAACATTTTCTTCTTGTAAACTAAAAGAAGAGCCTGCTACCCCATCGGCAGGTATTGTTATAATTTTCGTCAACAACGAATGCACCTTGTGAATATGTTTACACAAGGGACTTTTATCGGTACAGGTACAAAAATAAAGGTGAACACAAAGCTTATAACATAACAAATCCTTACAGATAAAAGGACAAGGGTCACATTCGCAAGTGTCATTACATTTAGATACAAAATATTTCTTGTCCCTACTTGTTTGAGACATCACTGTCCATTGATTAGAAAATTGCTCAGTAACATCTTTGTTGGGGATTTCGAGACCTTTCACATGGCGTGAATTTTTAGCATCATCTAACCCAAAAGGCAAATTGAGACAATTTTCTTTAATACGAAGATCAAAGTCGTCCTGTTCAATTTCGAGCAGGAGAGTTGTGAGATCATCCAAACGCCAGTTGGCCTTTTTCTTTGTGCAAGTTGCTTTCAATCTATTGGTGAAAGCCTCATTCAATAAAACGGTGTCTATGTTGCCATGTGGAAAATTTCGATAGGCCATGGCCCATTTAAGAGCAGTATCTCTATATTTTTCAAAAATTTCTATAAACTCAGGGGAAATTTCTTTATACGTACTGACAAAATTGTCAAACATATTGATGAACCATTCTTCGTCGGTGGAGGATATCAACAAATTGATGAAAGTAAACATTTCTTCTCTGTGATCAACAGGGACTAAACTGTTTAAGTAATTTTGAAAAGTCAAGTTGACATGCCACAAACACAGGAGATGACGGAACTGAGTGCCAAATACAGTTTCTGTAGCTTCATACAGTACAGGATCATCATTTGTAATGATACAAGTTACCTCAACATTGGAATTGCGTTGTTTGAGAGCAAGAAAAAAACAAATTAAAGAATTCACGTCCATCAGATTGGATACAAAATGAGCAACTGGGTAACCTCGATGATACTCATCTGGTACGGTGATGGTTAAAAGAGGGTAATCATATCTATTAGTTCCGTATGCTACATTTATTGATAAAATTTCTCCTGCTTTATGAGCAAAAATTCTCTGCTGTTCAGGAGTCTGTATACCCAACAAAAATAAATCAGAGGATGTGACAAACTCTTGAATTTCAGCAGGCCCTATTGCTACTTCTCCTTTTGCTACTTTGAAAAGAATAAAAGGATTGCTCGGTTCATCTTTAAATTTTTCGATCATTTTTGTTAAGGAAACAAAATCATCCGGATCTGACCTTAGTTTGACTCGCCTCAGACGAGCTATACCTTGTATCCTATGCACCGTCACAAAATCGTTCTTTTTACTGGCTGGAGTTTTATTGAGATCTGAATTTTGATTAGACTTGCCATCTAGAGTTTTAATGATTTGTTTAGGAGACAGACCCATTGAAAGTTGTTCATTTATGGAGCTGTATGTATTTTTGGAAAGAGGGTGATGCTTCAGATCTTCTGGTTTCAGAACATGACAATGCATTGGTTGAAATTTAACTAGTACAGCATCATTTTTTAATTTAATAACTTTCATACTGGCTATGCAAGTTTTACCGGATCTTATTTGGCCTTTGGAATTTTTACGAGCAGTCTTTCTTTCGGCGCCTCTGGACTCACCGTCCTGCTGGCAATAGAAATATTGGATGTTGGCTTTCTTCCCATTTTTCTTAGAAAAATAGGAAAATGTACTCTCTTCTGTTCGCTCTTTCCACGCGTAAAATGATTGCTCATTCAGAAAAACTTTTTGTATCTCCTTCTGAAAGACCTGTCCATGGGAGTTGGTAAGGTGTTGCATGAGAGCTTGCTTATGATAGAATTTGACATTACAGTTTTGATAGAGGCAATTCTTATACTTTTTTAACGCTGTGCTGGAGCACCTTTTCATATGCACTTTCAACCCATCTATGCGGCTGAATGTGTTATTACAAAGATGGCAAACTAAAGTCTTTTCTTTTTTAGCATTTTCATTCAGTGGACATATTTTCCTATGTCGGCTAACACTTGGGCCGCAAGCAAAATGCTTCAAACAGAATTTACACTGAAAATTGGGGGGTTTCTTTCTTTCAGCAACCGTGTGCTTTTTTTCATTTAGGATTTCAATATTTTTTTGAATAAAATTTTCTAAAAAATCTATCTTTTTACTGTCAAGGGGAACAGCAGAGATTTGACTACCTTTTGCTTCCACAGACTGGTCCATTGTTACTTTCAAGTTGACATATGTTTTCTTTGAATTTCAAAATTCAATACTGCACGGTCATCTTGAATACACTTTCAAGTCACCTGGTTCATTACCTCTGAAACGGAAAAATGACACAAAATCAATAACAGGAAATACGAAAGTCTCCCATGAGAGAAAAGAATAAGTAAGTAGTATGAAAATAGTAGATATTATTTAAGTAAAGGTTATTGACTTAGAAAACTGACTTATATAATAATAATAATCTTCATTTGGTATAGATTAGCCAATGGATAGCTATGATACACGTTATTTACATACATTAAGAATTCATTTCCATTACAATACAATTACATTAGGAATTCATCGATAGAATAATATGCCTCATGAAGAGCTGCTTGAGACTCTGTAGAAAAGATGCAAAGTCTGCATTTTTGAACAAAAGCCTTAAGTTTAGGGGTAGTGCGTTGAAAAACTGAATTGATGAGAATTTTATGTTGGATTCAGAGACTTTCAGAGATGTTTTGATGTTTTTAATACTGTTATGCCAAGAATTATAATGATGCTTAGGCTCACTAACTCATTTAAACATAATTCAGAGAAAATAACCTGGAACTTTGAAATACTTTGCCATTAAGGTGGTTGTTTACCACTTCGGAAAGGAAAAATAGTCAAGCGGTTTACTAATAATTTCTGGATTTCAGGACATTTCTTGAGGATTACCAAGCATCACATGTTACTATTCTGTACCAAATACTCCTTGGTGCTGCAAGTTTTTCTGAGAAACATTTTGAAATAACTCCAAAATTTCAGTCGTAGTGAATCTCGCAAAATGCAAATTGAGAGGCAAATCGATTTGAAATATTCACTCGGACCATACTTTTGGAGTTACCTAAATTTGAACCAAATATGGCATATTTTGGTGATATTATAGTAACCTGTGTGATTGTGTGTTAGTCGATGATAATGTCCTATTCCTGTCATTAACAAAAGCCCTTGGCCGTTGCTAGTAGTAGCAACATTCAGATGAAGCTGTGAGCAATCCACTACCTTGAATCCATCAGTCGTCTCCATTCACATATTGTTTGACCGGAGGAAATATGTTCAGGAAGATGCATACGACTTGCTGAATCCACTTATAACTTCCTTCGATGTTTATTTCATTATGTCAACCCGCAAAAGTTTGAAACTTCTTGTCCAGAATCAGGAGAAAGTGTCGCTGCACAAATGTTAACACCATGAAAATGACAGTCACATTTCAAACAGTATGGACTTGACACGGGTAAGAACTAATCTAAGGGAGCATAAAAATCACTGTGACAGAATTAATTGTAAATCCTGAGCTTTACAGTAAAAGAGTTGATAATTTTTCACTGATATTCTTTTAAATTTTAGAGAAGTAAACAAATAAACATAACCTAAAATAATGGCTCAACAACGAAAAACACCGAAAATCTTTGTTTTGAAAACGAGCCGCACGCAGGCGTGAACCGCGACAGCGACTGCGTTGATTCGATTTGATACGCGATCAATTTCCATATTTTTATCTGTTATCATACTTAGTTATCAGTGTTTTTGACCAAAATATCTACAATTCTTTACAACTGAACCCATCCTATCAGTCATAATTTTCAAGATACCAGTTTTTCCTAAGATTTTCTCTTCGAAAGTTCAACTCCTCCTTTCATGTACCCATGCTATTACAGTTATCACGTATAATTTCATTTTCAGGAAAGATAATTATCAAAATTTAGATACAAATTCTGGAGCTCTCCTCTAGTTCTTTTAGCGAAGTTCAGTGACATCGCATACATTTTTCGGCTTTACACTGTGTAATGATAGTTTTGCCCGGTTCCCCACTTACCGCTTTACTGTCTCGCCGCACCCTCTGAATGTTGCCTTGTTCTCTTGCGCCTTAACTGCTTATAATGTCATCCATTAAATACACACATGCTGTTGTCTGCAGAATACCAACCACTTTCAAAACGGCTGATGTCAGTCTAAATCTTGAAGAGGCAAAAAAGGAGCATGAAGTTTATGTTCAAACTTTACGAGACTTAGGGCTGGATGTAATTGAACTACCTCCTGATGATGCTAATCCGCTTTCTCCGTTTGTAGAAGATATTGCTGTGGTTTGCAATGGGTCCGCACTAATTTGTAAACTTGGTGATCCTCAACGCGAAGGGGAGGTAAGATTCTATTCTCTTGTCAGCATGGATTAAATACCTACTCATGAGTAAACGCATGAATATCATCACAAATAGAGATGTTGTCAGATAAGTTGGCATTTGTTTACTTTTGGTTTGCAGGCGTTTTCATGTCACTACAATCCACATGAAAACATCCGACTCCAGCAGAAGCAAGAACATAAGTTTGGATAGGTTTTAGTTAGTTGGATAGTTCAAACCTTATAACCCTTCAATTTTTGGCCTCACAGAAATCACAACTTCTTAAAAGTTGCAGATCATAACTGATAAGTAGTTTTTGTACAATGCAATCATGAGACGAAGGTTTACAAGGTGGATAGCAGCGAACGACGGTTTGTGCAGAGGCCTAAATTCGTCTTTCTGCGCTTGCAAACCGAAAGTAAACAAATGCCAACTTATCTGACAACACCTCCAGCAGTCATTTAGCCCTCAACTGAAGCAAACAGTCGTCTATTTCATGATTGATGTGATCTTGCGCAATCAATTAGACTTTTACGAAACATTGCCTATGTCCTTTAGTTCATCTTATGAAATTTTCGGAAGACCTGTTGGATTGGAAATAATGTAGCTTTGAAAGGTTGAAGTGTGATGGTGGTTTAGAAGTTAGCCTTTGGACACTAAGGTCCTGAAATTGGCTTTAAAATAATGTTTTTGACAATTTTCACGAAATGGACAGTAGCAAATCTTGCACCGGAGTTGATGAAACTATAATCATCTCGTCGGACATATCTCTTCTTAAAATTTCTTAAAAAAACTTTGAACAATGATAACTACCAACTTTGTGAAACCAACTTGTGTACCAACTAGTGAGTGGAACTAATTTTTCTTCTGTAAGTTTAAACAAAAAAAATGTATTTTTTCAGATCCAAACAATCCGTGCAGTTTTGAAGAAAGAACTGGAATTGCCACTCATAGAAATCAGTGATGAAAAGGCTCGGCTCTACGGAAGAGACATCTTATTCACAGGTAGACTCCAGGAAATTTACACGTCAGTAATTTCCTCCAATGCCCTCCTCCCCCTCTTAATCGCGATTTCCTTGCTTACCAATCCTCTCCTACTGTTTTTATGCTCTATTACTTTACACAGATTTCCAAATTCAATAAGAAATATTAAAATTCATATGGCCAGTGCATTTCCATTAGGAGACATTGTGTTTTTATTTTAGCCACCTTTGCTTTCTCTGGACGCTAATGATCATTATTTTCCTCAGTTGCCAATTAAATGATGGTGCATTAAATTTGAAGGAATAATTTAGTTTAAATTACTTGATGTACTTTTAAGCTTCGTTGGTATTTTTTTAGTGCATACTTAACCATTCAAGCAGAAATTCGAAATTGACACCAATGAAAACAACATTACCTACTTTCTTTTTCAAAAATGTTTGATAACTCATCCACTCCTCTCTGTCTACCTCGACTAGTTGATGACACAGACCAGCGGGTATAGGGTGTTAACACCACTCTGTTACAGGGTAGGTCTCTTATGTGTATGTCTGCCCTTGGTTAGAAGAAAATATCTTATTCCTAATTCTTCCAATTTTTTATGAAAGGTAATACATTTCTATTCTGACACAGGCAAAGAATTTTTTGTTGGTTTGTCAAAATACACAAATGAAGGTGGTGCGAGAGCCGTGGCAGCTGCTTTTCCAGAATTTCCTTGTACACCAGTCAAAGTGAGTCTTACTTCCGCTGTTTTTTTCTTAATTTTACATTTTTTTTAACTTTTAAATAGAATGCAATTCCATAGATAATGAGGATGACTCCGTTAAAAGAATTTCACTTTGAATCACGTCTACGTTGCATAAATAGAGCTGCAAGGGAACAGTCTACTTGGTTTAAAAAAAAATAACTAGAATTGACCCAACTGTGGTCATGAGTTACTGAACTGGTAGCCATAAGGCGAATATTTGAGAGTGGATTTGGTAGACTTTATCAACCACATTGGCAGGATTGCAAACTAATGAAGAAGAACGCTCCGCTGATGTCAAGAGCTCAACTCGGTTGCTTGATGAATTTTGATCAATGTTTGCATCCATCCACATTTCAACCCACCTCAGAAGGTGAGTCGAGAATTTTGGATGTTGTTGTCATTGCTGCCAGCAGGAAAACCAAATGTTGTAGGCGCACCGTTGCTCGAAGGGAATTTTAGTTGTAGCGGAGGTTGACAGTAAGTTAAAAACTTCAACCAAATCCACTCGCGAAAATTTGCCCATTAACTCAGAATCAAAGAGTGGATTATCGATAACCATTTATTCATGTGGTTCAGTCAGAGGATGGCGAAAGATTTTTCTCTGATTTTTTACGTAGCAGTTTAAAGTATTGAGCTGTTGGGAAAGAAGGTAGACAACCATTTTATAAGGTTCAATTCTGCTTACCTGTATTAGTTATTCATTTTTCGGTACATCATCATGATACCCCTCTCTTATACATAACTTTACATATTCAACTCTTCTTCAAGAATGTCAACGTCTCTTCTTAATGAAAGAGGGGTTCTCAACTTATGTGTCTTTTTTAATGAAAAATACCATCCTCTTGCTTCTATTTGGCTTCTAAACCTTATGATAAGGAACCATGCAGTAGTCTGAATTGATTCTTTTTCTTTTCCAGGTCAGTGACAATCAATGTTTAAAATCACTGGTTTCGGTCGCAGGACCAGATATTCTCTGTGTTAGTTCAAGCAAACAATCGCAAGAGGTGCTAAAGGTGAGAAAATTTTGGTATCAATCTTCTGCAAAAATGTGCAGTAGGGAGTAACCTCTGATTTTCCAGGTTGTTTATCATTTGGCCAGGGAATAATGCATAAATGTAATGAAGAGGATTCTTCGCTCACTATAATTGAAGCGCCTTGTCTTGTCACTACTGTAAACTGTTATTCCGCCTGATTCGACCTATGAAAGTTTCACCTCCAGGCTTTGTATTTTTTTTTATGCTTGAAATGTCATTTGCCTCTATCCCATCTAACAGTTTTGGCCTCTATGAATCTTCACACTTCTATGGTGTAAGTCGGCAATCACATAACTCGTTTGCGGTGTCTGAAAATCTCCGCCTCTATATTAATTTTTTAAAGGAGAACAAATTGATATCATTCCTCGAAGTTTTTGCAGAATTTTCTTCGCACGAAGAAGAAAAATCACGGCAGTTTTAAGGAATCGCCATTGAGTAGTTTTCCGTTTCAAAGATAAAGTATGACAGGAAGTCTGCGACGTCGCAAACCGAGTTATGTGATTCCCGAATTACACCGTCGACTTGTAATTATTTCAAGGAAAAAGATAGCTGGCCAAGAGACCTCCTAATGTATCGTATTAATGTATTGGAGCTAGAAGCTATCTTCTAGCTACAAAGAAAGGATGGGCATCATTTAGCATGATATCTTAATTCAACTAGATGTAGAATAAGATCTGCTGTGACATAAAGAATACAGCAAGTACAATTCAAGAACCAATCTAAGTGCATGCATAGTAAAATTTAGGCAAGTTTGTACTGCAGTTTGTAGTTGTAAAAATCTCAGAATTTTTAGATAAAATTAAATTATTACTAAAATCATATTTTACTTTGCAGAGGATTGAGAGAGAAGCAACCTTTAGTTATAAGACACTGACTGTTCCGGAGGAAATGGCCATTAATGTCTTATATGTTAATGGAACCCTCATACACAGATCTGAAGAAGAAATCCCTAAATCTTATCAGGTATTTAATTTCACCTTACAACCTCTAGCTTTTTCTTTAATTACCACGGATGATCATTATCTTCTTGCCGCTTCTTTCCTCATCAGGAATAATTAATTGACTTATTGATAGATTCAGAAAAAATTGGTCTTTGGAGATTTTGACGCATAAAAAGCAGAATAAACGTCACTTTTTTAAAATTTGGAAATATACTCTAACATCAAGCAATCATTAAGTACATCAAATCACTTGAAGTATTATTTCTGATGTTCAAGTTTATTAAACCAGAATGGACTTTTCAACATTGAACAGATATTATGACTCATCTAAGTTTGCAATGGGCCTGTTGCAAGCTTTCGCTAGAGCAAAAATAAAAGTTGTTCCTTACAGATAATGTCTCAAAAATCACGATGAGCGCATTGGCAAACTCTGAAATGCACTTTCAACTTCACAATCTGTGCAAGAAATATTCGTTTTTTAAAGCTTCCCGCTTCCAAAAGGATACTACGGCATAGGTGAACATTTCGTTAGAGGAGTCGTTCCATTCAATCTCTGCTCAACATGGCCGACGCTGCTGCACGCAAGTTTAAGAGAGCACAAGGTCAATCAAGGCGGATATCTATCAACCCGAGAAAAATGTGAATGTGAACACGCTGATTGTTATCAGGTGGTTAGAATCATCGTCCCGTCACATGTACTTTGGCGGATTGGCATCGGCTATGTTGAATATTGCAGGGTATCTTTGTGAGCAGAGGTTAGATGGCATGACTCCTCTAACGAAATGTTCAACTGTGCTGTGGTATCGTTTTTGAGGTGGGAAGCTCGAAAAAACGCAAATTCCTTATGCAAATTGTGAAGTTAGGAGTGCATTTCAAACTTTGACAGTGCGCTCATCATGATTTTTGATACATTTTCTATGAGTAACAACTCTTATCTTTGCTCTAGCAAAAATCTGCAACAGGCCCATTCTTGTCTTTGTTTAAAAACCACTTTTTAAACTTTTTTGTCAGGTTTTTTAATTTGAAAAAATATGCCCTCTTTGCCAGTTTAGGTAGTATTTTAGGCGAAGGAGCAGTTTTTTTGAAGCAACTGCAAATTAGATTTGCCTGTCTTCAATTACCTCCAAAATCATGATTTCAAAATTAGCTCTTCTCTTGGCTTTGGTCAAAGTTTGTAGCTTTTGGGACATTACCCCATTGAAAAATTCCCCCCGTTGTATTCCATTTATAATTTTTCTGTTCACTAATTTTTTTTTTTTTACCCCCCAGTTGTTCTCTGAAAGGCTTGTATTTCAGCACAAACCACTGAACTACTCTGAAATAAGTAAGCAGAAAGGACTACTAAGTTCCTGTTGTTTGCTTCTGAGAAGGAGCCGTCATTTTCGAAGCTTGTAAAGTATTTCGATCTTCATAGCCAATTCAACGTTCAGCTTTTTTTATTCATCTCGTAAACGTTTGAACGCCTGTTCTAAATATTATATATGTGTTTCCCTTCCTGTGCTAGCCAGGTTTTTATATTTTTGTCAGTATTGCAAATGATTCAATTTATTTGAGAAACATTGTCTCTTTTCAAATTGAATCAGTCTATGCGGAGAGTTATCTCCTCCGTAAGACACATTTTTGTAGCATATAATTCCTGTCCTTATGGAAATCTTCCAAAAGAAATTCTGAACTCATTAACCAAATTCCAACTCTAATATAATACTTATTAATAGCTGGTGATGCTACAATTTAGATTTTTAATCATCTAGCTTATATTTTGAAAAAAATAGAATCAGGTTATGAGGAATGTTCCAAAAGTAAGTTTCCCTATTTTATTTCTCCAAAAGAATTACAGCTGAAGCAAATCTGTGAAAATGTTAGTGGGAAATTTTTTCAACTCTCCAACGTGCTTTAGTTTTTTTAATTTGGATCAGTGGCCTCTAAGGAATCGAAATTTCCTTGCAGAAATCATGTTTTTCCAGATTTGTTTCAGCTATTATCCTTTTGGATAAATAAAATTGGGAAACTTACTTTTGGAACAGCTCTTGTATGATTATTACTTTTTTCTTACTGTTTTATGAAATGAAGGATCTTCGGGAATAGTTTCAAAGTACATATGATGCACATTTTGTTTGCTGTGCGACCATCACTAGGTAAAGCAGGTATTAAATAAAGTAACAAAGCTGCCGTAATAGCGAAGAGAGCAGTGAGGGTCAAATTTTCGAAATCGAGTTTCCTTCAAGAGTTGTCTAATCTCTTTTAGATGAAACCACTGAAATAGCTGAAATAGAAAAATTCATCTTAATTGTGTAAAAACGAGACACTTGAGAAAGCCATAAGTGCGCAAAAAATGACGCAGTTTCAGGCAAGACAGCAGGAAGTGACAATATTCCTCCAGAGAGCCAATGATAACAGTACTTTTAAGTAAAATGCCGCCATCTTCTGCCAATTTCTAACCGGAAAATGTGTTTGTTGTGTGTCCAAAACGCAACTACAAAAGCATGCAGAAGATAGTACGTAGGGCTGTCTTACCTGACAATAACCTAGCATGAAAATGAAAAATACCATTTTTATGTAATTGAAATCGAATCAGTCAATGTTTAATCATCCAAACTACCTACAGGAGTCTTGTGGAAGATTAGTGGCTATTTGACAAAGAACAGAGGCTTCTTTCAATAAAATTTTCTGGTCAGAAGCTTCTGAGCCTGTTTTCACATAACTTCATTTTTGCACTTACTGCTCTCTTTGCTATCATGGCAAAAAAATGAGAGCTAAAATCTAAGACCATTGCTACCTGAGCAGTGCAGGTTCAAGAAAGTTTTTAGATTTTAGCTTTTATTCTCTTTATTACAACCTAGAATGACTATTATATCATTTATCACAATATAACGTACCTGATGATGATCACACAACGGCAATAGACATTGTTTTTTTCAGTCAGATATCAAGTTGTGACTTTCCATTTTATCAAATCAGAAGAAAAAGATAATAATCACAACCTCTCTGAACAGTTCTGTATTGTACAACTAATGTAAATGCTACAATAAAAGATCATTAATTCCTCCATTTTTTTAAAATCTCTGCATCACCCAGGGACTGTAGGGAAAGCATTTTGCTTTTATCTTTGTAATTTACTCTCACATTATTTGCTTTGATTTTTTCAAGTTCCTCACTTGTTGCTTTATGAATCTCTTCACATAATCTCATTTTACTTTTTTTTTTCTCAGCTTAGCCATGATTTTGAAGTAATTTTTAAAATCAGGTCATCAGTAAGCTTACTGATTAAGTCTAAAGTAACATGTATTTCCTAATTTTGAGTCTTGTAATTTTAAGTTTTTATTTCTCAAAGTGACTACACGGTGTTTATTTTTTTGTATTTTTTTTTCTTTCATTAAAATCATCTTGCACTTGCACTCCCATCATGTCGTTTGTACAGTTTAAAAAATTCAGTAATTTCTTCCAACTAAATAAATGGCCAATTTTCAATGGACTCAGTTTTTTCCTAGTTTTTAGTGATGCAACTGTCAAGAAGTGTAATACATAAAATTTTGAAGGTGTCATTTCTCCAGAATCTGTTCAGAATTGTAAAAATGTTTAAGGCATTTAATCTTGCTGAGCAATCGATTAAAAATATTGAAAAGCTCTGTGGTTTGGAAACCTTGAAATTTAAAAGCAGTTTTTATAAATTATCGATTTTGAAGGAGTACGACGAATAAATGTACTTTTACTATTTTCTACTATTCCTCAACGATTCAAAAAAGATTCAATCATTGGAAAATGTTATAAGTGTCAGTCCTAATATGAGATTAGTGCTGCTAAAATCTGTATTTTGTTTGTTTTTTTTTTCTCTCTCTTTTTTTTAAAATTGTTTTTAATTTCTGCAGAGCTTTGATTGTTTATCCCACCTACATCATATTAGTTTTAAGCAGCTTTATTTTATTTTGAAACTGTAACTTTTGAGAAGCCACTTTTAAAGAATAAGACTATCGTCTTAAATTTCAAATGACTAGCGCCCAGATTTATGGAGCCAAATAAGTTCTAGCATATATATTTAGAGAAGGACTGTCAAGAGGAATGTGTCTTTGAAGTTTTCGTGAGATTGTTCAGAAGTATGAAAAGGATGGAGACAAGAATGGTCACAAAATGACTTACTGCTTTAATCAGCTTCATTGCATAGAGGAAAGAAACTAAGACAATAAGATCATTCTATGTCACATGGTCTTAAAAACTTTTACTGCCTTTAGACTCTGAAAATTGCGAATTTTTGGGTGGTCTTTTCCAATAATGCAGTTTTTGCTTTTCATTGGTCAACTATTCTGATTAATTCTCACGATATCACAAGCCTCTTTACTGTTAATATTTTAATGCAATATGAAAGAGAAAATATTCAATAGTCTCTCACTGATATTTACTAGCTGTTTATGTTAAAATCTTTTGTTCTCATTAAAAATGCTAGCAATATGTCTGTTATTAAAGTAAGTAAGTAACTCTTTCCAAAAATGTAAAGTTTCTCATCCTACCAAAGAAATTAATTCACATTCTGAAAAGTAGGATTTATGTACTCAAGCAATAAAGTGATGAATTAAACATAGCTCACTTTACTTCTTTTTCTCTTTCAGAGAGAGTTTTTCTTCAATTATGTCCCCTAGTTTAAGTCTACTTTGTGATATCTAGACGATAAACATATTCAGTTTTCATGAATTCCTTTTCCTTGTTGATTCAGTTCTTAGAATGATTGTTCAAGTTTTTATTCATGTTCTGTCAGACTTTTAACAGGTTATATCATTTTTCTAGTTGTATGTTAGTGTATATTATTTGTTCTGTTCTCATTCAATTATTGTAAAATGCATTGTTGGCCTGATGTCAAAATGACTTTAAATCGCATCCGTGTTACTTTTCAAAGATCTGATGAGAAATCTTACCGGTGCATCCCCTTATTTTTCTTGAATTTTATGTGAAGGGGTTTACATGTAAAATAAGCTTCTCTAGTTATGTTTTTCTGAAGGAAAACTCATCAACTCTTTCAGGAAAACTAGATAACTGTTTCTCCACAAATTTAGAAGCTATCCATTAATTATGTAAATACTGCTTCTCTAATTTTAAACTATCCTCCCTGTCCAGGAACATACATGTTACGCAAGTCTAAACCACCCCCTCCCCCTAAATAATTGATTAACACATCAATCTATCTCTTCTGATGAAGTTGGAGGTTCTCCAGTAATTTTCAGTGAAAAATCTACCACTTATTAACCTACAACTGCCCGTCAGTTAGTGCCTCACACTAAGTTTTGACCTTTTCACTCTCTCCCGACTCAAGCGCTTGTGATATAGTCTCAAATCCTCCTGCCAGAGTATTTGAGTGTAGCGTAATCATGAAAAGGCTCTAATTTTTGTAACAAGTTTTATGTTTATATGATGAGACGCAGAGCACCCTTGGTTTCTTACAGCATCTTTTTATTTTTAAATAATAGTTAACATGTGATTAATATTATGTACATGAGTTCTATTTTACTAATTTGGAAGTGAAATATCATCAGAATATCCGCCCTGAGTGAATCCCAACCAACACACATGATATGTACTATCTACTGTCAGGTTTGAGGCTGTCTGTTTTCATCTGCCTCATTTTATTGCCAGTATTACTTTCTTAATTGGTAGAATGTAATTCTCAACTTTGTTAAAAAAAGAAAAAAAGAGAGTATCCTCTACGATTGTTTATTGCACTTTGCACTTCGTTTTCACTAAAATATTAGTAATCAGATTATTTTTTCAATTTTGGTAATGTGGTGAGCAACCAATAAAATGTAAACCATTGAAACAAAGAATGAACAAACATAACTCTCTCTCTTTTGTGAGTATGTTTGTGATGCTAAACATATTTAATAACAGGTGCGAGTTCTGTAGAAGGAGTCACTTTTGTGAGCAGTCTTGAACAGATTAAACAAGGAAACCTAGATTAGGATCCCCGCCACTTTTCGCCGCTGTATTCTCGGGTTACATCTGTAGAATACTTTCAAATAAGGGAGAATGTTATGTTATGTAAGAGCATGAGAGATTGCCTCCACTTTTTTCTTTCAAATTAGAAACCCTCTAGTTCTATAGGACTCATGTCAATCGCTAACCTTGCCATTCTTTGTTTTCTTGGATTTTATGTATCAATACATCTAAGAAGAGGTAAACTGTTGTTCTTTTTTTTCAAGCAGATAGTATACTTCTCTTTTCCTCTCTCTCATCAAACATGTTTGTGGTTTTAAAGATTGAAAATCGACCAAAGCTAACCATGTTCATGCAGGTGGTATTCAGTTAGGTACTTGACTCTTTTAAAAAGTAATATTCATCACACTTTTTTGTCACTCGCTAAATGTACGTTTAAGAGCGTCGTTCATATTTTGATTCACTACTTTTGGCATAGTGTAAAAAATGAATGTATTACTGTTGCTTTTTTTCACAATTCATGCATATGTACAAGTTTTTCCTCAATTCACTGCTGTGTACCAAAGATAACTTTATCACATATTTTCAAAGTATTTTTCCAGAAGTTTTCTTCATGACGAAAAATCAGGCGTTGGTCTTTTCATCCTTAGTTTGTCTACCAAAAAAATGCCAAAATTATTACCTGAGCCCACAACTGACCTTCTCAAGATTTTGATAAATCAATACATTCATGTATTTGAACAGAAGTGGAAGAAGTCCTCTTTAATTGAGCTGCAAAACTTTCCCGTGACAAGATTTTATGCGTAGCGGCATATTTCATGTATGTCTGTAATTAGATTATGACCTTATTTTCAAAGCCAAATAATGACTGTGAAACTGCACAAATGCGTACCTCAGTTTGCAGTGTTGCAGACTTCCTTAATCTATTTTCTACATGGGAAACTATCAACATCATTTTGAAAACTGGGGTGATTTTGTTCTTTATGGAATGAATATTCCGTAAAAATGTTAAGCACCAATGTTTGTTTGGTCTTTATTTATTAAAATGAAACAGGAGCAGAGATTATAAAACACTGCCACTGAGGTATGCATTCTTGCAGTTTCACTGTCGGTAAGACTCTTACTAATAAATACTACTAACACCTACCCAATGCATTTATGATTAGCCTTTAAGTAGGTATCTTTTACCAACTTTTTTTCTATTAATTTCTGTAAATTTTAAAACATATTAAATCACTGCATGGTCATTTTATAGTTGTAGGTCGTACATCTTTTCCTTTTTATTTAAGGGCACAAGACCCAGTAAATGATATTACATCAAGCTCATGTACCTTCTCCAAGATTTTGATGTTAGTGAAATTAGCTGTATACTGTGAATTCAATGATCTATCAGAATATGTAACTGATTGTAGGTATTTAAAATAGGTAGATACGCTCATTCAAATTAAAACCAACTCAATTTTGCCTTATTTCTTTGTTTTATTTCTGATAAGCTCTTGCACCCTCTCCCGCTCGTGTAACGCTTTTATGATGTAGGTCCCCATCTTTTAGCACATGAAAACAGAGCGTAAAACTTTCCTCGCTCCTCCCTCCCCCTTCCCCAGCGTTTAATAATTTATGAACAGCCCCGAAGACCAAAATGTGATATTTTGCTGCGTTAAGATAGGACTATGTGTAGTCTTGTTGCGCTGACATAGTTCCAATAAATGGACCACTGGTAAGACTTCTCTCTGGACTACCAATCATTATTTTCCTTCCAACTCAATGGAAATTTTAAAAAATAATTTTATGAGGGATTTTTGCAAGTTGTTTTCACGATCAACTCTCATGTTTCAGGGATTTCATTTTATATGTGTGCGTAATTTATCAAAAAAATAGCTTCCATCCTAAAGAAAAAGTCCACAGATTTTATGAGGGATGAGGAGTGTGCTGTTGGAAAAAAAACAAGCTGGCAGCATGCAATCCCTCCAGGGATTGAATTATTCGTTGTCCTGTTCATTTGGATTTTAGTCTTAAATTATACATTAAAATTATTGTCTTGACCAACGAGAGCAAGCGATAATGGATATTATTCCCTCATCTTTTAGTCAGCTTAAAGCATGGTTGCAAGGAAATAATGCAATCATTTTTTTTTTTTTTTTTTTTTTTTTTTCAAAGAAAATGAAATATAATTGAAAATTTTTAAATGTTGCAATTTTTCTTATTCGTCTTAACAAAACTTTTTTCTGTGGGGTCCCACAGAGAAACGTGCGTGCACCTTATTAGCAACACATAAAAAAAGAGGCTGAGGATAGTGAAACAGCCCCACCCACTCCCGGCTCCAACCTGAGTCTGAGTAAATTATGTTCATGTTGAGCTGCAATAAGAATGCTGTTGCAAACTTGCAAACATGCTGAACTTGAGAATCTAGCACTGCCATACAGGGCCGGATTAAGGGGTTGGCCACATGGGCCGCGGCCCATGGCGGCAAATTTAGGGGGCGGCAAATTGTGCATTTTTTTAAAATGTGGGTATAAAAAAAATCGGATTCAGAAAAAAAAAAATATCAATGAGAAAAGGGAATAAAATCTCTCTTTCCTGAGAGTATAGTAATTTCTAATTTTGTCGTTTTTCGGTGATACAAGAGACAGCATCTTAAATTATATTAGTCGAGTTGAGAGAGGAACTAAACACGCAATTTGCAATTAATTGGTCTGTAGCTCAACACAGAGAGGAATGATGACGAGGACTTGAGATGAAAAGGAAAAGCCCTCGGCGCAGCGGTCGGCATGTAACACATATTAGCGCCTACAAGACTGCATGAATACTTCACCCATTGCGCCAAACACAGTGCGGTCAGGAGCGGTTAGCGTGAAACGCATAGCGCCTACAAGACTCCAGGAATACTTCACGCATTGCGCCAAACACAGTGCGATCAGCGCGGCATGTTTGTTCTTTCATAATTTTGTGGTTCATTTCTTATCAATGGAGGACCTTGTCCACACAGAGATAGATTTATGGAACTTAACTTTCGCGTCAAATACCGTGAAATTTTACTAGTAGTGATGACAGGGCTTTCGCAAAAAATTTATCCAACACGAGTAGGTAAACGCGTCTGATATGCACCCCTCCTCCTCCGGCACATTCACTTGATGGTTTTTATTGATCCCCAGTAGCAGAACCATAGAAGGAAATGATAAAAATTATGTACGAAAGTTAATTTTTTTATACAACGCATGCATACGAAAGTGTTAAAAGTGAACAGTTTCATGTAACCATTATATTAAAAAAAAGTCATGATTTTTGTGAGCTTTTCGCAAACATACTAAAAAATCTTCTAATTCGCGAAAAACTCACGAAAATTATGACTTTTTTATGTATAATAGTTACATAAAAATGTTCATACACTCTTGTATATGCATGCGTTGTATAAAAAAATAAAAAACTTATTGTCTACAAAAAAAATTACCTTATCTAGCTTTTATCATTTTCCATAAATCATTGTAAAGTCTGAACTTTGATTTTTTTTTTTTTTTTTTTTTTTTTTTTTTTTATAAAAGCGTTACACGTTGGTTATATAAAGCTACCATTTAAATAACAGATATGTTTTTTCATACTTTTTTATAGAAAAACAAAAATTTTTTCTGCTACTAGGGATGTTTCAAAACGAATGAGAAGGGGGCGGCAAAATACAGGCGGCCCATAGGCGGCAAGTAGGTTAATCCGGCCCTGCTGCCATAAGAAAAAAAAAATGACAACCTCTTATCCCTCTCTGCAGTTTCTGCTGAAAGATTTTCTGAGCATGGAATGAGATATTTCCACAATCTAAATGAAGACATAAAATTATAGTCTAGCTACAAAATTCTTCATGCCATACCTGATGAAAAGCATTTAAAATTGGCGGCGAAAAAGAGGGCAACTTTACTGATACTTTTGAAAAAGTAAGTACACCATCCATTCGCATGAAAAGAGTCAGATTCAGCGAAAATGCATGTAAATATTAATGATTATATTGGTGTATGCACAGTTCTGTAGTATCTAATTTGATTTTCTTTTCCGCATTTCCGCACTGTTTCTATTATCAATTTGTTTTGTACCGTATCTGAGTAAGTGATAACTAATGAGATTGGCAACCTTGTTGCGATAAAATCCAAAAAGTGAAAGTTCTCACTGAAGTCTGAAGTTAACTAAGTAGTACATGTAATTTTTATATTTCATTATAAATTACATTTCAAAACAGCTTAGTTCTGTTTTTTCAAATGTTGTGCTTAACTCTTTTTATAAGAAATTGCATTTTCATCATGTGCCAACAAGTGTAGTCGGTGTAGTATACAGGAACCGCTCATTTTTTTTTATGCACAGTCAGCTTCTGAATTCCAACCTCAAACTGATTGGTAAACAGTAGATTATGTGGACTTAATTTACCTCTGACTAAATCATCATCACATCATCATGGGATGATTATGCTGAAAAGAGACTCTGCTGTATTGCTCATGATTTACCAACCACCCCTTTAGTGAATTGCCAAGTTTTTTGAGCCATTTGTGAAGATGGAAAACTCGGACGAGAAAAGTTTCTTGGAGCTTCGTACTCAGCAGTTGGGTTTCAGACCACAAAAGGAAATTCCATTTAACAAATATCTTCCGTACGCTGATGAATTGGATGCTGAATCTGAACAATACTTGGCTGAAATCAAAGCAAATCTAGCAAGGGCTATCATGCTAAGAGAAATGGAACCTGGCATTGACATTTGGAGTTTTCGACTGGAAAAGTGAGGATATTTCTTGAATTTTTACTCTTAAATCCCGGGTGCATGTACCTGCTATCATAATTCATCATAGCAGAGATATTTTTCTCACAGATAACTGATTGCATGAGGCTGTAGAGGTTTTCATGTCACTTTGCGTCAATCAGGTCTATGACTTATTTGCTTATCTGAGACGTTTATTGCAGACATGAAGAGTGAGGTGGGATTGATACTACTTTTGAAAAGACCCAGTTTTGCAGTGAATTTGTTTTATGATCCTGACACATAAGTCTACTCTTTCTTTTCTGATTCAATTCGATATTCAGTGGATTAAGCTCACTGTAAAAGTTCGAAGAGAAAAAATTCATCAGAGTGCTTGAATACCTGTCCTGCCTTACGGCTCTATTTAAACCCTAGATCCTAACATATTTTTGCTGAGCTTGTGGTCTATCTAATTTCTAAAAGTCTGACTAAGCAATCCACAGACGAAGTTACCCTGTGGTTTTGCATCATGAAGGTGCACATATTTTTTCATAAGTCTCTTTTTGATCTGTTCTTAACCTTTGCAATGCTTCTTCTTAATTTTAGGTACATTGGATTGTACGGGTTCAAATTTTCTAAGGAAGACCACGTTGCTTTCATCAAAGTTTTTTACGAACTGCTAATGATCCCTGATCTAGAACATGCATATATCCAGACATTTTGCAAAACACTTATCTTACTTCTGAAGTGAGTATACTTGTTGGTCGTGTTGCCATTCTAAGGAGTTTATCAGTAACCTAGGTATTGTAGATTTATGTGTGCTGCTAACAGGCATTATCTGAACCAGAATGATTCACATCTTGCAGTACATTTGAGACCACCCCTGAAGTGTACTTCACAGAGTATTCTGAATTAGTTACACGCAGATGGCCCCTCAATATCTGTCACAATTTAATATGACCATAGAATAATGATGCTGCCATCAGAAGCAAAACTGAGATAGGGACGTTGAGGTGAAGAAGAATAATATTTAGTACAGTACTGTTCACATTTGAAAAATGCGTGCCCGTGCAATCAGGGCTGCCGATTCGGTTCGATATCAGGTCTGATTATCATAATTAGATACTTCTAACTCATATAAATAATGTTTATTTCACATTCAGGACGAATCATATCAATAAACTTAATTAATTAAGTTACTCCAACAATTCCAAACACGGAATTTAAAAGTCTCGCCGCACTCATTTCAAGAACGCACAACGTGGCATCATAGTAAACAAGTACGGGGTATTGGCTTCAGCACATTCCTACTGGAGTTTCGCTTCTGATTGTGAAGCATCACTATTCTAAGATATGACAGTTACTTCAAGCAGTTTGATAACCTCCATTCCTCAGATTTTGTTATTTCATCTCAAAGCAGCCTTTTTTCTGCACATAGTTTCTCCTTTTAAAATCCTACCTTCACCATCAGAGGCATCATAATCAGAACAATTGGAGCAATATCTAAGTTAAAAAACATATCAATTTGAGGAACAAATTTTAAAGAGATGCAAAAAACTGCTCATTAGATGAAGAATTTTGGACAAGTATTAGCCTCTAGATGTCAAAGGATAAGCACTGAGAGACAATATTAAGTCCAAAGTTGAAATGGATGTGGTGTTCTAAATAATCGCTTGACTACTTTGTGTACACTACCATAAAAAAGTAGAGTTCATTGAAAACCGGACTCTGTACTTTTTCTTGCTGACTGATAGGGACATATTTTTTCTCTTTTTTTTTCCCCGAAAGTATCTAGTACAAATTTTACATCTCTTGCAACATTTTCCCTTTCCAATCTCCTGCCAGTGATGAAAGACACCCAACTAGTGCTTTATATTAGTGTCCTGATGAAGCAGACTTTCAAGTATCAAACATAAAATCCAACAAAAGGCGTACGGTAATTATTTGAGTTCATAAATTTTACCTAAATTTTAAATAATTTTAATATTATTCAAAATATAATTCATAAATCATAAATAATTTTTATAATTTTATTTTGAAGGTTTCTCATAATTTGTTTTCCCCCACAAAAAATGACTAAATTGTTTTCCTAATATGAAATTTCTTTGCAGGAAACCTAAACTGATTTCACCGGATGACTTAGTGCTACCATGGAAACCATTATACGATTTGTGTGAACGATTGCTGTCTAACAGTGCTGTTATTGTTGGGATGTACCGCTACCTGTCGTAAGTGTAACACTGCAGAACAGAGGAAGAATGCTGTATAATCAAAAGAATGTCGCTGAATTTTCTCCAATAAAATACCTATTTTTGAGAGAAGCTGTAAATATTATCCTTTGAAATTCTCGAACACCTCAGATTAATTTGTATTCAAAATTTTCCGAAAAATTCAAAGATTCATTAATTTTTAAATAAATTATTATTTTATCGGAGGAAACTTGGCAATGTCCATATGCTTATACAACGTTTTTCCTTAGTGCAGCAGAATGCTGTTCACAACTGAAACTTTTAAATCTTTAATACCTCATAACGCAAGAAATCATGGCTCAGAAGTTCCCCGTGATACTGAAAAATTTTCATTTTCTCAAGTATTTTCTCTTGATAGTTTTTAAAACTGTTTTGACCACCTGGTAAGGCTTGTCAGGTCCCATTATCTGATTCATCATCCTTGGATTCAATTACTTGGTATCTTTGATATTAACCCCTCTTGGTTCTTTAGTATGATCAAAGTTTATATTCCGGTCACTTTCTGTCCAATCATTGGAGTTGTGATCAAAATGTATCACTGTAGGACAATTACAATTTTAAATTTTAAAATGAAAGCGAATCATGGATTGGCATCACACTTTCTCAGGCAGAAAGGAACTTTCTCAGTGACCAGAATGTCCCAAACATTCCTTCTCATCTTGACTGAGAAGCAATTCAATTGATCGGGGAAGGAAACAAAAATATTTTTTTGTTGAGTTAAGTCATAGTTTTAACAATGCGCATCTGATAATAATGTTCTAGCTTCTTCCACCATCTCCTTACTTTGGAAATCTTGTTGTATGTGTCAGAATAAGTTGGCTTCAATGCTTTTTCCTACATTTCAACTGTTGGGACGGAGTTCAGACACTTATTTTTTTTCTCCGCTTTCCCTATTATCTCAATTCTTTTCTGTTCTCCCACTCATGCCTTTTTTTATCCTCTGGTGATATCTTAACACCCTCTTGTCTTGTTTTAGAACTGACCACTTCAGCTATTGGCTTTAAAATGGCTGTGTTTCACAACCATTACTTTTTGTCCTGAGTGATTCAGATTAAGTTCTGAGATTTCATCTAGTCAATTTTTTAAAGCCCAACTCTTGAAGTTCTTGCCTTCAACCCTGAATCACCTTGTAAATCACGAGTCATTACATATGGATGCGGATGGTCTAAGCATTAGCTGATGTTAGAAGGTCCACTTGTGTGATTCAGAAAGGGAATTTTTAGTTTTCTTGTTCTAGATATATTCAGTACGTTCTGCCAGTTACATTATAAATCAATTAACATTTTGGTTTTGATGAAGAGGCTAGGAGGCTGAAATTTTTTGTCCCAAAATATTAAATTGATCCAAATCTTTTATACCAGCCCACACTAATCTCCTTCTTTTAGGATTAAATAGTATTTCTGGGTTCCTGTCATTTTTAATTTCCCTGTTGAGATCCCTTTCATTACTTTTGTAAATAATTACATGTGTACTATACACGAATCATTTGGATTGCATTTTGCAAAAAGGAACCAGAAACATTGCAGTGATGCTAAGATTGAGCAAATTCATCCTTTGCAGTAAAATAACTGAAATCATGAAAAAAATACGAAATTTACATGGTAATTTTTGCCTTAGATTCACAGTTTTCAGCGAGTAAAATAGAAACTGTCAATGGATAATCAGGTTTTTTTCCAAAACCAAAGAAGTTGCACAGTCTTAGCAACATTGCAATGCTCATGGTTCCTTTTTGCAAAATGCAATTCATTTCTCACGCTCTCTTCCCTCCACACTTTTTATTTTCTACATGAATATAATGCATTTTTTTAGGCGTGAGGTAAATTTATGTTTTCACTTTTTTGTTTTTTCAACGAGGCAATTCTACTCATCAAATTATCTCATTTCAATTAATATTTTGTTAACTCACTCATTTTATTTATTTTTTTGTATTTCCTTTACACAAAAGTCTCAAATTTCATTTAATAACCCAAGTAGCATTTCTCAACGAAAAAATCGCTATTATCGTCGATGAAATCGACAGGATCATTAACATCTGAGCGTTAACCTCGATCTTATGGCGATGAAATCGCGTTTTTATCGCTCGACAATTAATCACGATATTTTTTAAATGAAAATCGCGATAAATGGCGATTTAATCTCGATTTTATCGATGAAAATTGATCATGATTTTATCGAACCAAAAATTGCGATGTGTAGCGATTTAATCCCCATATATCGCAATTTTTAAAGCGTTAATATATCAATATATTGCCACCGATAAAATCGCTATTTGTCGCAATCACTGCTACTTGGGAATTTGTCAGAAATACTGTATCGAATTCTTTGAGCTTCTCATTTTCTCCTTGTGTTCATCCCTCCTTTTTTTTTGCTCTTGACACTTCATTTTAACTCATCATTGTTAATTTGTGTAAGGATCGCTAATTTGACTGATGAAATTTGGCACATACTATCTCTCTCATGACGTTTGCGTTGACCTCTTATTCTTTCAATTTTTTAACACCTTTTTTTTCAATTTGTTTTTTTTTTCTTATGTTTATCTTTGGAATGGATATGAAAGTGTCCAGCAACGTCGGACCCTACGTAGTGTAAAGCAATTATTAGGCGAATTAGTACAGTTTACCGGTCCCAAGTAAGTTGGCAAATCTATCAATACTTTTATAAAACAATATTTACGCCATTGCTTAATATCTCAATCTTATGATGTGCTTAAAAGTTTTCTCTTTCATTTTTGTTTTTACTGAAGGCTTTTTTCCCAGTATTTTTTATCAGAGTGTCACTTGCATTCTTTATTATTGAAAGTGATGAAGAATTCTCATCATCTCAAAGAAGCAATACGCGGAATGACCTGATATGATAATTTTCTTCTTTTGAATAGTTAATATTCAGTGTAAATATTTCTCAGGGTCTTTACAGTATCTTCTAAATTTGCTTTAACAGTTGCTAAAACAGCTTTTTAGAAAATTACTAATTGCAACATCTCACACCTTTTTTTTCTTCTCTTTGTTCCTCCTGGCCTCTCCTCAATTCCACATCCAAGTGTCACCACCCTATATTTTTCAGTGTTATTATTCATTTTATTTATATAATACATTAAATAAGAACTCCACCCCAACATTTATCATTGACATCTCTTGAAACCCATGAAATTTTTGACCATTACTGTCTGTCTCACAGGATAATATCAATGGTACTCGTTTGGATTCAGTTATATAAAACGAAATTATCGAGTTTTTCCCCTTTGTCAGTATGTAGGTACTTTTGCAAGCATACATATTTCTGTATCCTGATTTGACGTTTGTTTCATGCTCTTCACCTCTCTATTCTAAGTATTCTTGATCTATTTGGTTTTCGTTTTGAGTGTATGTTTTTCTCCAGTATACGAGGGGCGTTCAATAAGTAAGTATCCCCCCTCTCTAAAATCCACAAGAATGGACCAATTTTAAAAAACTTGGGCTCAAAATCTTCCTTAGGATATTTTGAGTTCAACAAAACAAACCGCAACAAAATCGGACTATGTGCGGCCGAACGCGAGCCGTTTGAACGCGCCGAGGTGCTCGACGCTCCCGCCGAATCTGCGAGGATTTGAAGTCCACTACAGGAGAAGAGCTTCTCTGCCAAAGCCTCAGTCGTTCATCACTGACGAAAAATCAAAGAAATTTTTGTAGAATAAGGGGCTTACCTCACTTCTCCACATAACCAGCTCGATCCAAGCAAGTCCGATACTGAGACTAAGACTAAGAGAACAGCTTTTGGATACCTCGTGCGTGGAAGTCTTTCAGCTGACCGCGGATGAAAGAGTAAACGGCTTGTTTGACCTCTTCCACTGATTCAAAATTAACTCCTCCAAGTTCAGATTTCAGGAACGGGAATAAATGGTGGTCTGGTTTGCCATTTATCATCGTATATGAAATCTGAACTCGGAGGAGTTAATTTTGAATCAGTGGAAGAGGTCAAACAAGCCGTCCACTCTTTCATCCGCGGTCAGCTGAAAGACTTCCACGCACGAGGTATCCAAAAGCTGTTCTCTTAGTCTTAGTCTCAGTATCGGACTTGCTTGGATCGAGCTGGTTATGTGGAGAAGTGAGGTAAGCCCCTTATTCTACAAAAATTTCTTTGATTTTTCGTCAGTGATGAACGACTGAGGCTTTGGCAGAGAAGCTCTTCTCCTGTAGCGGACTTCAAATCCTCGCAGATTCGGCGGGAGCGTCGAGCACCTCGGCGCGTTCAAACGGCTCGCGTTCGGCCGCACATAGTCCGATTTTGTTGCGGTTTGTTTTGTTGAACTCAAAATATCCTAAGGAAGATTTTGAGCCCAAGTTTTTTAAAATTGGTCCATTCTTGTGGATTTTAGAGAGGGGGGATACTTACTTATTGAACGCCCCTCGTATCTAACTTATCGATTCTTAACAAGCCTTAACTATTTTTCGCTGTGAAGTTTTTAAAAACACGAAAATTTTGATAAAACATACTCATTTGCGTAAATATTTTTGAAAAAAATAAATTATAAGTTTGTCTTCTTTTGAAAAATAAATTACAAGTAGAAGTAATCACTCTAATCATGTTTTATGTTTTTCTAGTCTCACCATCAGTCAGTAAAGTACATTGTTGACATCTAATTTTTTTGTCTTGTTATTCAGCTTTCATTTCATCTGTAGAATGAGAGCAAGAGCAAAGATTAAATTAGTAATATTGTACTTACTCCCTGTTTTTCCTAGTATACAATAATTATATTACTAATCCAACAACGTCGACTGTCAAGTTTCTAAAGTAAATTTTGTAATTTTTTTTTTTTTCTGTAATTTTTGTTTCCATGGAAAGAATAATGCTTAAAATTATTTATACTTTACTTTTGAAAAGAATTCCATGTACCTATGAATACTCATAGATCAGATGCCAAACAATGTCATAAATTCGGTTCTTTTAATTGCCTTTGAAATGCTATGATCCTAGAGCAACCTGTTCAGCATCTACTCCCCTGGATGATCCTGTCCTTGATCCATTCTTTCATTCTGACTTAGCGGAACACCGAGATACTTATATTCATCACACTTTTCAATGCGCCGACCATCCTCAAGCTCTATGCTCTGTTGTTGCTGCGTTTTTCCCACAACTAGTTCCTCTATCTTGGTCATGCTTACGTCTATGGCCAATTGGCCAATTGCCTAGATTCCTCTACCAACTTCCACATCATGTAATGCGCAGCCTCCTCATCTTGAGCTATTACAACCTGGTCATCAGCAAAGCAGAGTGTTAAGAGTTTGTCCGTCCCGGCACACTTCCTTCTTCATTCCTATTATATGTCCTCTAGGTAGACCTTTAATTGTCAATGACCAACAGCCATAGGTTGATATATAATAGAACATCTAAGTGTGATTTTTTGAAATCTGTGTGTATTTAGATTTCGTTTACCCCATAAAAGTTCAACTTCTGACAAGATTTTTGTGTCCTGACATGTTGTTAGGATCAGTTTAAATTTTATCAGGAATCAATGTCTCGGTTTTTTTTTTTTTTCATTTTAATCTTTCATGAAAAGTGCTCTCTTTCATTTTTGTTAGTCTTGCTTTCATCTTCTAATCATTTTTATTTATTTATTTTTTTTTTTAGGACCTTGGAAGGATATCTGACAGAACTCGTGTACATGGCTGCCCTGTAAGTTTTCAGCTGAACTTTTCAGGCACTATTTTTGTGCCTTTAATATTCAAGGGAAAATGACAGTATCTTTTTGTTTAATAGCAAGGAAAGTTTGATGATAATTGAAACTCTTCCTAATATAGGGTCGCCGCTTTATATGGCAATTCTTGTATTTTCTCCTATTCTTGACTAAAAATTCATTTTGTTGAAACGACGATTTACTCCTGAGCAGAGAGACAGAAACAAAAAATGATGTATGTCAAAGAGTAACAGTGTTACGACATTTTAAACATCTGTAAATTCAGCAAATTACTTCTCATTGGCTCCCATCAATCAGTGATAAACTGAATGTATACTAGTTATACCACCATGTCACTGATGCAGGGGTGAGATCAGGATGGAAGAAGCTTGTTATTTAGAAGCGACCCAGTGACATCATCCATTTGTTATTCCGAGATCCGTTCCCACTTTTTTTTTTTTTTTTTTTTTTTTTTGGAATACTAGATCCAAAAAAAAGACATCAACTCCATTCCTGCATTCAAATCTGAGTTTAATAATCATAGGTTAAGAGTATAACAGTTGATGAAGAGTTAACAGTACCAAGTGTAAATTCTTTTTTAGCATCGCTTTAAAGACTTAAGGTGAGGGTCTATCACTGACATCACAACTTAGTTTTTAAACTTGAAATTGATGTCAATTCTGCTACTTTTGCAGGTATTTTCCACCTGAAGCAACTCAAGAGATGTTGGATCTGTGGAGACCGAAGCTTTGTCCCTTTGATGGTGACAGTATCACCGATACAATCGAATATTGTGAATGGTTCTTACCAACAATGCTTCGTCCAGATCAATCACATCTCGGGTACAAGTTGTGGTTCCACGAGTTTATGAATCTCTGGGATCGCTGCAACAATTCCCTGAAATGGGACCAAGTATGTATTTTTCTGCACTGACTAGTTAACGCCAAGAAAGACTGTAGGTAGCATTAAGACTGCTTTTCAATGAAACACCAGACAAGGCACGAAAATGAGCACCCTAATACGTTTTTCATCATCAGACTTTATCATCAATTTGTAATGTACTAGTAGTAGCACGTAATTAACTTGATAGCTGGGTATGTGGCCAAAGTGCTAAAAAATGTGCGAGAATTAACTTACATAAAAACTGTTTTTTGTAATGTATAAAATTTTATGTAGAATAGGTGAGCATATTTGACTTAAATTCTAATCATAAGTGAGAAAAAAGCGTTTGTTTTTTTTTTTTTTTTTTTTTGTTAATTTGAATCTCTAACTCCAAAAAATCAAACTGAACTCAAGTCAAATCGACTGTCAAGCTAATTAAAGAATATTTAATACATGAGGAATTGTTTTTATTTTTCGTCGGCAAGTTTGCAAATTCTGTGTATCATACAAGAGATAAAATTTTAAACAAAACGTTGAGAATTTGTGGAACCAATTAGATTATTTGTTTTCTCTAATTCGACCAACATTAATTTTGGTTTTCTCGCAAGTGGAATGTTTGAATCTACCGATGATTCCATTGTATACTCCCAACTCTGATATCTTCCTTATAATTTGACCTTAGAATTTCCTAATCTGTTCAACATGTCCTGCATGATTTTCCTAGTTTGGAAAAATGTCTTGTCACACTACACTTCTTAACCTGTCTATCTGTCTATCAAACTAAAAAATACACTGAGCCCATCAAGAATAAACCAAGCATATGGCAATTTTACTAAAATTGTCTATGTGTATATTTTTCTATGAAAAGCCTCAAAAAGGAAGCTTCTCTTCTACCCTCTTCACATTACATCAAGGATCAGTCAATAAAATGTGATTTTGGAGATAGCTCAATAAACGAAAAAAACCTCTGTAAAGTGTCAGCCATGTCCTGTTAAAAATCGGCAGCGCCTATTCTAAAAATCAGACAACCGCTGGTTTTTTGTTTGTTTTTTTCCTGTACATCAATTCTTCATACAAGCTTTTCTGGTTTTTCAGGAAATGATGTCTCTAATGACCGGTTTAGCTGAGAACAATATTGGTTACATAGATTGGGAGCCATATATACCAACGATGTTTACACGGTTCTTACGATCACTCCATTTACCGGTGTATTATAGGCAGGTGACCACTGGAAGGTATCCTAACATTAGCATGGATTTGATAGCAAGATGGATTGTCAGTGTTCTGGTAATAACCCTCTCTTAAATATTTTAATATCATGTCAATGCATTCAATAATCATGCAAATTATTATTTTGAAAAAAATATGATCGAGGGACAATTTTTTCCATTACAAAGAATAAAGTAACATCACCTTAATAGATGATTAAAAATGAAAGAGAGCAGAGTGACCTAAAAGTACACAATGTTTGCTTTAATTTGAAATCGCGTATGTAGTATTATCATACTTTTTAGTTGTAAATAATTAAAGGTGCGGTTTTACGTCAACGGAATGATTTCAAGTTACTCCGTTTTGGCATGAAAAAAAAAAAGCAGCACTGACTAAATTATTGAAAATTGTTTTCCTCCAATGATCAAATCTTCTATTTCCTTCTTTTAGGGTGGTGGTAGCAGTGCTCAAACTTATTTGAATCAGTTAATGAAAGCCTTAGAATCTTATTTTCACCCCGCTAATTTTGGCCGATGGATTCGAAACTTGAAAGAATTTGTAAAAGTGTTACCCTCATGTTTCATCAAAAGACTGCACCGGTAAGTTTAACCTCAAGTAACGGAGCTCATAATATTTCAATAAGCTGGTGGTATGCATCAGATGAAGAAAGATGCATGAGATGGAGACTTGAAGACGTTCTCTACTGGAATGATGAATTTAGAAAACCATATGTCACAAGAAGGTTCAGAGAAGATAGAGCACACTTGGAATATGCAAAATTACGTTATTTTCAAAACAATTCTGGTTTGTCTAGCAAACTGGAACTGTAGGAGACAGTGCCACAGCCTAAGAATGTGGAAGGCCTGAAATTACAATCACTCTAATCACTGAAAGGGGAAGATTCTCTCAGCTCTTGTCAGTTATTGCTCACAAATTAGATAAACATAATGAGTTTTTAGGAGTTTCTGAAAAATTCAATGTCTTTTTGAGATGAGTAGTAATCATGTTAATAATGACTGCAGTGGAATATGAGAAGGCCCATGCAGACACGAGCACTAATACAACTACGAAAATAATTTAAATTCAAGTCAAAGGATTTTGTAACTATTTTACAAGGAGTTATTCTGCTTTTTAAAAATGGAAAATTGTGCTTTGTTACAAACACTTCACTTAAAAAAAGTATGAGGATGATAAAAATAACACAGATGTAGGTCAAATTTGGTATAAATGAGAAATATAAACCCCATGCGCCAAGATAAGAAAGATTTTTCTCCTGCAAAAAAGCACCATTCGGTTCCGATTACATACTATGTGAATCATCCAGTATCTAGCTCTGGGCCAGTGCAAAAGATCGATATTTGTATCCGAGGATGTAGAAAATCCATTTAAGCCCAGTTCTAGTTTCTACCAATGAATTGTTGTAAAACTATGTAGTCCTTAAAATTGAGTCAAATTGAAATTTTCTCAATAAATACATGTTTCCAAAGTCTCATCATTGTTCAACTGATTTTTGCACGAATTGAGGTTCACATGTTTCACACATTTTTAGAGTGATTGGACCACCATAAACTAGAATGTACCAAGCCAATCAAAGTCTTCATTTAGCTCTGCAATTTGTCTCTCCCTTTCAATATCTGTCTGAAGCTCCAAGCTTTTATTTTGTAGCACTTTATTTTTACTCTCTAAAGTTTCCAATTCATATTGATCTGAGAAATCAATGTTCTCAATTCCATTCTGTCCAGGAGCCTTTTTTTTATTTTTTTCTCCAGTAATCTTTTCCCCTAAGCCTTCTATGTCCGCATTGAGTTCTGCTACCTCCTTGTCCAGTTCAAGAATCCTTCCATCATACTTAGTAGCTTTCTTCCCAAGATTTGCCATTCCGTTTTTCCCTACCATCTCTGCCTTTATTCGCTCCGAAGGATCTCTGTTGAGTCCCACATGTTTCCTGTGAGATTGAATGGCAAGTTCTTTGATTCTTTCATCCATAGTCAAATGGTGTGCTCCTAATTTGCTCTCAATCTCTGCTTTTTCTCCGTTTTTCCTCTCAAGACAATCGTCTGTCCGTATAATTTTCTCCTCATTTTCCAATTTGCATTTTCTGTTATGTATTTGCTTGTCAAAATCTGTGATCTTTGTATTCAGCCCTTCTTCAGCGCGTTTTTTGAAAAGTTGTGTAATCCTCCTAGCCTGCCAAATAAGTTCCTTGTCCTTCTCAATCTGTTGCTTGAGTTCTTCTATCTTTTTAGATTGCTCAGCAATCATCTGTTCTTTAAAAAGTCGCTCTTGTTCAATGGAATGTACATCAGCAAGGTGTTTATCAGCCAGATGACGATAATATTTGGTTTTTTCTTCTCCCCAACCACCCGTAAATAACGGATCTAGTGCTTTTTTCATAATGGGGAAATTGGTTTCCAGACTCTGTATCTCTTGTTTGGAAGCGTTGTGCACTTGCGTAAAATAATAACACCAAAGATCTGTGGCATCTCTTATGTCCTTTACATACTGTACTCTGCACTTAGGAATTTCCAAAAAGGTCATTGTTATGTCTTTGAAAATATTCTCATGAGTTCGTGTGTCCATCCATTTGTGTTGTGACAATGGGTGGAGTGATCCCTGTTTTTCAGGAAAAAGAAGGCAGTTACTTACTACAAGTAATCTAACTGCTTTTACAGCTGATGTATTTTTAGCATGCTCATCCTCACTATAATATCTCCATACTGCACTGGTTTGAACATATTTCACAAAGTTGTGGTAAACGTGTCTTAGTTGAACTTGCACTATGACTGTTCTAGTCTTGGATTGACAAAATACATCGAAAGTAGTCAATTGGCTTGTGGTTTTTGAAGCAGGGTATAAGTTTGGTCCTTTCTTTACCTCCAAAATTTGCTCATCATCATCAGGCTGTAGCAAGTCATTGAAAAACTTTATAAGTAAGTCCTCGTTTCCTGAAGCGGTGAAAACAGTCACAAAAGAATAATCAAGTGTAGGATTTGCATATTCATTCATTTGCTCGCAATTATTTACTCGACTAACAATCATAAGAATACTAATGTACCAACAACATTTCATATTCCCTTATCAGCTTGATCGCCCCTGCTTTGAATTGTCAGACCTCAGTCACAGACTGATCGGTCACAAATTTTTTTCATTTCAAAATTATGTAACAGCTGAAAAAGTAAACACATTCTGTTATCAGTCTGAGATTTGTTGATTTAATGATTCTCACTGATTGATGGTTGTCAAGTTTTGACAACAGTACCAGACCTTTATGTCACATGAATAAAGTTGTGACCTTATAAACCTGCAATCCTTCAATCCAATTTTCAAAAATAAGGGCTCTAACTGAAGCTGAGTGTGTTAAAAATCCCAAGACCTACTTGGTTTTTTTTTTCTGGCACTCACAATTCGCAAGAAATATTAGTGGTGACTTCATTTTCCAGATGAATTTTATCTTGTAGGTTGAGACAAAATTTCTAAAATCAGCCTGCTGGTGCAGTGGTTGCTGTACATACTTACTCTAGAACCGAGAGAATTCAAATTTCTTCAAAATGCAAAAGGTTTCAAAGTTATATATTTTGACCTTCCTTAATGATCTTGTTGCTGTGAAAGTTTAGATGGTACTAAAAAATACACCTACTGTGGGCACCTTTTAAAATATGCGACCTCTCTGCTGCAATTTATGGTATTTGTAGCCGTGACCTCTCCACTGCAATTTATGGTATTTATAACCGTTATCAATGCATGACTGCGTGCATTGGTATCGTTTAAAAAATCTTGGGAAATTCTTGTGGACTAGGCGTACTCTCTACTTTTCAGAAATACAAGAATTACAAATGACTGAATGGACTCATTTGGGATTCTGACTTATGCAAAAAGATTAAAACTACATGGTGTCTTAAAATTTCTGTGTCTAGTAGTGTGCGTTTGCAATATTCTCTCCAAAAACAAAACAAAAGAGCTGCTGCTACTCTCTGCATGATTAAAGATATTATACGCCCCTATGATCCCTCTGGGTTTGTTTTTTCTTTTTTACTATTATTTTATTATGGAATGAACTAATAAAATTTTTCAATTTTTCAGGGAAAGAATCAAGAAGCCTACGTGGGAAACACCTATTCCAGATTCACATAAACTGACGGAAGAAGATATAACAAATTTTGTTGAGTCTTTGAAACCAACAGTTTTAAGAGCTATGTTTTCAAAAATGAACATGAGTGATGTCAGCAGTGCTGTGAAACATTTGTCAATATTACGACCTGAATTAATTGTACCTGCAGTTATTGACAGGTAAGCTTTTTATTCTTATTTGTTTATTTGTTTTTACAACATTTTTAAGGCGTCCTCTTTTTCTAAAAAAATTTAAATATTTTTGTTTATCGTTAACTGATTTTCAGTTTTTTCTCTCTTTCTTTTCCTTCAATTTTTAAAATGATAAATACTGGCTGACACCCAACAAAATCAATGCTAGTTTTTCCCCCTGCTTTTTTTTTAAAAACAATAAACCATTTGAAAATAATCACCTGAAGTGGTAAAATTTCAAATGAACCATAAAGCTTTTTGCATGAAAGCCGAATGAAAAGAAAAAACGTACTATAAATATGCAGGCTATGGTCTCTGAGCACTTGATAATAGGGCTGCTCTGTCGGTTGTTGGTGATCTACCAAAACAATTCCGTTAAGAAAAAGTTTCGATAAGAGCGCTCTTACCGATAGCGATCTGAGTTTTCGGAGCTGACAAAAATAAGCTGTTGCCATGTGTATATCTATTTTACCCGCCACCGTGCCAGGCAATCTGACAAACCGACACACTGGACAACAATGCATTGAGTATGAGCTCTCAAAACTCCGATAAGGCTGGCTGTTAACGATATCATCGCCACTGTCGGTACTGCTACCAGTATCGGTTTATGAAGTTACCGTTAGGGTATCGGCAAGAATTCGTTTGAACACCCCCACTTGCTAAGATTACATAGTAATCTAGAGATAAGGTCTACAACTTATTAAACTTTTTTATCAACTTCATGTTAAAAATCAATGCTGACTCCTAGTGTATTTTCCAAAGGAAATTCACTTCTTGGCTCTCCCACATTGTGGAACCTAGACTCAGGACCACATGAAGAGCATCAATCTCGAGTCGTAGATCTCAAATATATATGTCGCTCATTTTCTGTCATATTTATGTAAAAATATATGTTTGACAACCAATGTGAGATCTTTTAGTTTTCAGAGCTTTGTGCACCAGTCAAGTTCTGAGTTTCTCATTTTTATTTCAGATTTTATGCAACAATAGATTCTTTGACTGAGCCCCACAAATTCACTGCCGCAATGAATGGAGTAGCAGCTGTGGCAAGGCAGCTTGTAACTGGAGGAGAAGGTGCCTATCCGCAGGGTCCAACGCATGTGGTCCCAATTTTGTTCGCAACACTCCCCGGAATTGATCCGAATGATGTTAAGAAGAGTTTCTTCACTTTTCAGCTCATTTCAACTTTCTCTATAATGGTGCCTTTTGTCGACTGCTCTGCAGCCTCTCAATATCATGATTTGACGCCAGTAAGTATAGTCTCTGCAATAGATGAAAGGTATCGAAGATAAAGGTGTCAAGTAAAAATATTGGAGGTATCAGTCAATTTTGAGCAAAACTCTTCTCAGATTATACTTCCGATCTTTGAGGGCTCAATATTTGAATTCAAGGTTCATCTGTGTCATTAGCTTCCACACAGTGACGATTCTTGTTAGTTGACAACACTGTCCTTCATCCATTTAAATCCATTTTGAATCATGAATCTTGGGCAAAGCAGCGTGCCTTGATGGTATCGTTTTATTGACTTTTAAACGGAAAAAACTTAATGTTTCTATTTTCTGAGAATTGCCCTCCGCTTCAATGCAATTTCTTATCGTTAAACATCCTTTCTCAAAATCATATTTCATTTAACTCTTTCATCTGTAATACCCTTCGATTGTGAATTCAGCCCCTAAAATAGCGTCCTGTTAGATAATAGGGGTCAAGGCTCTGGTAAAATTTTTATAGAAATCTTTTGCACAGATTAGAAAGAAGAACTAACACTTTTCTATGTTAAAGAATACACGTAGAGTAACAGATTACAACAGGATTACGTTAGAGTAAAGATTTTATTATCAAAACAATGAAGCAAAGAAGAAAAAAAAATTCCCACCATCTGGTGATAATTTCTAGAAGTGGAAGGTCAATCCAAAAATTGCAGAAGCAAATTTTTATCACTGTATCAGAATCAAAAACTGTACCTATATAATTAGACTGAAAAAGTAAAAGTGAGAAACAGTAAAACTGCCCACAATGTTAGCAAAGGCTCACTATCAGCATAATGTGTTCTGCTTCTCCATATGAAATTTAACATGCAAGTGAGTTTTATTGTTTTTTATTTTGAAATATTTATGAGTTTCATCTTCGACTTCTTGCCGCATAATTTGTTGCATTTGTTAAATCATCTTGAAAGGCCAATCAAATGCATTTAGGTGGAAGTCTAACTAAGTAAGGTTTCCATTGCAGATGGACTTTCTGTGGAATAAACTATCTAACTGGCCAATCTAAGTCACTGAACTTCTTGAAGCACTTAAAATTTACCTCTTTCTTCCCTTGTAAATCTAGTAGATATCTCTTAGAAGGTTTCATGTTAGTGGTATTTACTTCTTGGTATATTTATTTTGTTCTATTTTCTTTTTTTAAGTGTTGGTAATGTCTGTGGTCATTTTTTATGATTCTAAAGGAAGAAGAAATAGTATGCAGTTCAACAGCTCAATTTGAAGATTTTGTGCTACAGTTTATGGACAGATGCTTCACGTTGATTGAAAGCTTCGCCCTTGAGGCCACCCGTCTTGATCGTAAATCTGCTGATAGACGATCAAGGATGGAAGCAGGTGTAGAGCAAGGTCTTGCATCAACTTTTGGCTCAATTTTGCACCAAACTTCTGATGAAATATTTGCTGTAAGTTATTAACAATTTATGATTTACATTATAAAGTGTTTTCTTACCTTAATTTATAAGCTAATCTCATTGAAACGTTATTTTGTGGCTCTGTCCTTTAGGACCACTTTCCAACTTTATTCCATAAATGTAATCATCAATAGGATAAGGCACTTCAATACCCATAAACTCAAAATCAAAATTGTACGCCTGCTTATATGAGTGTTTTACAAACATTTTACCATAATTGCTGACATATTTCCAATCAAATCAAAGTTAAAATGCCTCAAGGGATTCTAAAAATTTAGTTTTGAGGCAATATAACTCAAAATCTTAATGTTTTAAGTTTAAAACTGTATCATATCACTACTTCACGCTCTATTTAGCTCAAAAGTAAGCAAAACTGCCCGCAACTGATTCTTTGGGGTAATAAAAGATCAGTCAAAAATTGAAATTCTTATTTTTCATCTAATTTGATTTTTACATCAATTTGCCATGGAGATGGTAAGCAAATAAAATGACAGATCAGACAGAGTAGATATATGTACATACATAGTGTACGTGGAATACAATTTATGGAAGGATGAGGGTCTAAATCGTTGAGAAAGTTTAAGTTACATTTCTTCAGGGCTAACACAACCCTACACTTATTATTGGTCTTTGAATGATTTTCATGGAAAACAAAAGCTGGATCCATATTTTTTGAGTTTCGACTCATCTCCTCAAAATATTCCATGACGCATTTTCTTTCATTTTTCAGGCTGCTCTCTCTAAATTAAAATCTTTCGTTACCAGTTCTATACTAGAGGTGAAAGTTGCGGGTAAATATTTAGCAACACTCTGCCATCTGTTTGCATACGTAAGTTATCCTTGCACTTTGTTTACTTTATTTTCCTTTTTTTTCAATAGCTCCTAAAAAATTTAATTGTCTTTTTTCAAACCCCTTTGACAAACACTCAACAAATTTGTATTGAATTCTCATCTTGTTGGTGTGGAATATGTCATAATTCTTATTCTTATTCTTTGTTTACATCGGATGTCCGGGTACCCGTGTATCGAAAACCATTGATCGTGTATGGAAAAAGTGACCCGACGTCCCCTAGGAGTCTCGGACTTTGGGACCTGGAAAATGCTTAAAAGCGGCACCAGCTCTCCCACTTACATTACGACTTTATGTACTCTTTGGCTTTTATTACCAATCAGTATAAATTAATTCAAAATTATTTGATGAGGGTAAAATAATTTAAATGAAGAAAGAAATGGAGAATAGAGTACAGTGAAACCTCGCTAAGTCGGTTTCCGGATAAGCCGGTAACCCGCTTTAGTCGGTAGAATCGCCCGGTCCCGTTTATCACCCATATAACACAATGCTAAATAAGTCTCGGTATCTCGGTTTGGCCAGATTCTGAACCCGCTTAACTCGGTGAAATTTTTCCATCTCGACCTGTTTTTCTTCGATCGTCACCCGTGATCAAGCGTAGGTAGTGTTTCCGTGCGCGGTGCGGGTCGGGTCAAGTTACGCCACGAAGGGTGAGCGAATCTCCGAGAAAGCGCAGCGCAGTGCGAGAAACGACATCGGAAATAGAGAGATAAGGAATCAAAAACACTCGATAACGACACGAAAGATGAGAACAGTAGAGAATAGGATATCTGATACCGCGTGTTATCTTATCGCGCGTGTGAAAACACGCATGCATAATTAAGCAATTTCACGCATCGATGAGTTGACAGGTCAAGTCGGCACCGGCCCCTCTCCCCCTACCATCTTGCATTGCCCTTCCCCGCTCCCCCCAGGAATCTTCCGCAGAGTTTTTCGGAGATTTTAGCGAGTATTGATACGTTGCATTTTCAGTTCAACGACCCGCCATAGCGGGTGGCCGCGGCGCATCACCGCGCGGCATGCCGCGTGGGATGCGCGGGGGGTGATACGCAATGGGGTGCCGCGGCACCCCAACATACGATTAACCCGATGACTTCATGATGCCCTGACACTTAAAACACGCAATTTCAAGTGCATCTCATGAAATTTTACTCTTTAGTACCATTTTCTTCGATCAAATGGCTCTCCTAAACACTCCTACAAGTCACTCTACACGCACGTTTGCGTTTGTCCAATTTAGGGCGCGAAATTTGAAAAAGCGCGGCAGGAAAAGTGGCAGTCCGCGTAAGTCGGTAACCCGCTTAACTCGGTAAATTTCCTCAGTCCCGATGAAAACCGACTTAGCGAGGTTTCACTGTATAAGAGATATTGTGAGAATCTTCGTCAAATCGCAGCAAGCGGAAAAACAGGACATATTTGCTTTTCATTATCTGTCAAGCATGCAAGCTACATTAAATGTCAAGTTATTATCACTCCTCCTATTCAGAAAAGTATTTAGAGTCCATTAAATTATGTGAGACAGCTCTGTTATCATTTTTTCTCTATTCAACATTTTCTTGTCACTGTCATGTTTTTGAATCAACAGAAAGTAATCACAAATGTTTTATTTTCTTATACAGATTAGACCACATGAAACTTTAGAAAGTTTACTACCGCACGTCTGTAATAGTATCATACGATTAACCGAGTCAGATGAAACTTTGAAGGAGGAAACTCTGGATGATGAATTGATGTACTATTTGTTGCTGCTTCCACAAGTAAGGAAACGGTTTCTTTTCCTCATTTCTATTGTTGCCTCATGTTAATAGATAGACTATTTAAGTGCTTGAATTATCATTACCTTAAAAGGTATAATTTGTCTTGAATTATCATTACCTTAAAAGGTATAATTTGTCATTTCAAAGTCTCATTTCAACCGTAAAAATTTTCTATTGAAGTGATGGCTGAAATGAATGATAATTCCTCATATTTTTTCCATGAATCTATGGAAGGTCACACATGTTAAAGATGTCCATTGATTGTTGTTCTCTATTTCAGTTAATTTGTGCCACATATTTAGAAGCATTAAAAAACAATTCGCATAATCATTGAGCGCAGAGGGCGCCCAATGAAAGGTTGGAGGGAGGGGATTGAAGCGGAAATGTTAAGGTGCTCAATCCCCCATGATTTGTGGTTTGAAAGAGAGCAGTGGAGGTTAGGAGTCGTAGAGCGCGAGGGAGTGCTGTAAAGGGACTTATATGTATGTATGTAAAAAACAATCTGGCAGCACTATTTCTTCCATTACCATGCAATCACTAATAGATGTGTTCGTTCTGGATTTCATGAGTGAATTTTGGGCCCCTGCATATTTAGCGCCTTTTTTGCTCAAATGGGTTTCGTTGCATAAATGTCTCCAACATCCCTTGCGCTTCTGTGGCATGTGAAGGTGCTGCTATCTTAGTCATATGAATTTTGCGCAAAATTATATCCAAAAATTAGTTTTTTTCTTTCCTTTAGACATGATGTGTATCATAAAGTGATCAACTCCTATGACATTAAGGATGGCATGCAATCTCATCTGAACCGCCTTTCAATCAAATTGGCTTTTTTATAAAAGCCCAAAACAACAGTGAGACAAGTTTCTGCAAAAAATTACTCATGAACTCTTATCTGGCGGCAAATTCGTCCCTTAACTGTTCGTTATTGAGAAAGGATTTCCAGAATACCTTAGTTTACTCTATAAAAAGAACTGTTATGTATTTATGACACAAGCAGCCAAACTTTTAAGTACTAATTGGATTTTTATACTTTTTAGATATCGTCCGTCAAATGTGGTGCTCTCATCAAGTACAAAGACTTGCTGATAAAAGTTTTAGATCGCACTCTGAAATTGAAATGTAGTGATGGTTATGGTTTTTCCTGTACTCTTCTGGTGAATGTTTTGCAAGGGGCTATAAATATTGGGCCCACGGAATTTCGTTGCATTATCGAAGATTTTAGAAGTAAACCGCTGTCAGAATTTCTCCCTATCAAAGTGAGTCTTAGTTGGTTTGAAATTGTATTCTCCTCTCCATCCTTCATGGGAACTTCTCAAAGTTTCAAGGCTGAAGCCTGATTCGGTCTTGGTTCCTTAATTGTAAAATATGCCTATGATTTCATGAGGCCTCTCCTGAAATCATGCTTCTNCCCCCCCCCCCCCCAAAAAAAAAACCATTAAGAAGTAAAGGAATTTTTGTGCAAAAACTCCCAACAGTCGGAGAACAGTCCAAGAACTTAAGAATCCGAGGAAATTTGTCACCCAATCAAATACTTGTTTTGTGTAAAAATTGAAGGTTAACAGCAATAAACAGGAACTTACTTGAGAGTGTCCTGGCAGGTTTTTTGTACTTCTTCTTAAAGTGAGTAGATTTTAAAATGTCTTTAAGATTTATACAGGCAGAAGTTTTTTTAATCTTTAGCATTTGCTTATTTGCATGCTTTAGAAATAAAAAAATGCCGATTTTGTAGCTTTTAGCTCTCTAAAACCAGGATAGGAAAGGAGTAACTCTGCAACCCAAAAGAAAAAATCCAACAGGCAGACTCCGAAATACCTCCAATACAAAATTTATCAAATGGTTTGCAATCTATCATACTGTAATTCTTAATGATTTTTGATCATCTTTTCAGCACTGGGGCAAATCAACCAGCTATCAAAGACTGAAAATAAATTGGAATCGTCCTGGTATAGAAGAGAAGAATTTTGTCGAATTCATAACACATAGATATCTGCCAACGGAGCTAGAAAGATTGAATCAATTCATTGATGGCAAAATTACTTTGGACAAGTATGTTATTGGTATCTTAGCTTTAGACGCAGTAAGGAAAGGATGGAAATAATTTGAAAAGTGAATGAATGAGTCGTGTACTTTTACTTTATTTTTGTCTTGAAGTTTTTTTCATGCTTTGTTTTGGAATATAGTTATAAAATAAAACATTTAATTCTGTAAGTGCCTCTTTAGTCCTCTCAGTTTATGACAGCTCTAATGATAAAAAAAAAACTGGGCTAATGAAAATGTTGAAATATGCAAAAATGTCTGCCAATTTCTTATTATAAATTTAGCTCTTGTAAATTCTTATTGTAAACTAACAGAGGTACAATATCATGGGTTTAGCTTTATTCTAAGAACAAAAAAATGGCCATAAAAATGTGAATAGAACCAAGCTTTTGATCATCTAAATTTTTACCTCAGAAATGAAGAAAATATTTACTAAAGTTTTTTTGGACTCTGTCAAAAAAAAGTCTCTACATTTTTAAACTCAGCAATTGAGAATTAATGAGTGAAAATTGATGCCTCGAAATTTGAATTAAGACTCAGAATTTCAGAAATATGAAGGCTGTAACTTTCAAAATTTTTCCTGATTCTATACTTGTAATTCGCGATCCAAGATCCTCTTTTTTCTACATCTATCATTCTTGTAGCCTATATTTCATCACCCAGCTGAATTCTAGTCCAAATATTTAGGGTATGTTTGAAATATTGATTATATATATTTTTGATATATAGTCCGGGAATCTTTTTTTAAAACTTGAAAAAAAAGCAAGGTTAGTTTAAGATCAATCATTTCACAGATATTTCATCTCCACTCCTTTGCCCTCTTCAGATGTTTTTCGAAAATTTGTTTTGGATGAAGTGTAAAGTCAGTAACAATTTCTACCTTCTTTATTTTGCAGAGAGGAACTGAAGCGGTGTTTGACGATAGTATTCTCGATCAGCGTAGGAAATCCTCTTCTTCCTTGTTGGAAAGATGAAGAACCTTTGAACTTGTAAGTTACTTTAATCTTTTTCAAAATGTTTAAGGCGAATCTACAGCGGTACATAGTAGGAAATTTTTCCAGGCAGGGGGCGCCACCGCAGTGTTTTGATTGTTTGGTTCACGCCATTAGAGTCCGTACAGATCCATGTGAGTCCTTGAGCTTTTATGAAAATTAAAGGAATTTCTGTTAAAATCGAAAAGTCATAAGTTCTAGCTATAACATTCTTCTTCCTATTGACACTAAAAATAACGGGAAAAGTAACTTCTGAAGCTCTGTAACTTGATCCCAGCAAAAAGTAGGGTCAAGCATAATGACCTTGATGCGACCAATTACAAGTGATCGCTCTCAGCAGTTGCAGATATCTTTCTCTCGCCAAGGGCTATCTCTCTTGCACTTACAAACAACCCATAAGAGAAACTAGGATCAAGTTTTAGCTTTTATTAAGCCAGCTTTATTAGCTAGGTTTAAAATTTTCCTGCAACACTCATGCCTGAATTGATGCACAAGTTTTACGGTTGCAATAATAAATCTTACCGCAAAAGCAAACCTCTCTATTTTATTTTTTTTTCTCTTATTTAAACTTTCAATTTTTTATCTTTTACTTTTATTTTTTGTTTTTTCTGCAGGAAAGAATCATGCTCTTCTCTCTCACCATGGGATGTGAAGACGGGGTTATCAGGACTTGAGGTAACAATGCCAAACGGTGATAACGCGCTTAAGACGATTGCATCAACAGTTCTGCGATTACAAGATAAGCTCCTTGATTCTTGCGAAGATGACACGCAGTCTTTGTTCGTACTGATTGGTGTAAGTACCAAATCTTGCATTAATTTTTTGGTTCATTTTTCAGTTGATTTATTGGTGGTGGGGGGGGGGGGGGGGGGGGCTTCATTAAGCATTAAGAAGTTTGTACAATCAGAGTACCTATGTTTCTGATAATCAAACAATAATTTCTTGAAAAATTGGTTTAGGTTGTCGGTTCGCAAACTGATTTATATTTGAGATAAACTGAACTGGGGAAAGATAAATGGGAAGAATAATTATCAGAGTAACTATTGACAAATGGTCAGTGCTTTATTGTACCAAAATTTAAGTGGACATTGAATGTAATTGTTACACAATTATCTACAGCAACGATATAAGTCGGCAATCACATAACTCGTTTGCGGTGTCTGAAAATCTCCGCCTCTTTGTTATTTTTTCAAAGGAGAACAAATGACATCATTCCTTGAAGTTTATGCAGAATTTTCTTCGCACAGAGAAGAAAAATCACGGCAGTTTTAAAGAATTACCGTTGAGTAGTTTTCCGTTTAAAAAATTAAGTATGACAGGAAGTCTGCGACGTGGCAAACCGAGTTATGCAATTGCCGACTCACACCATCTATATGCATTCATTTTATCTTGTTTTATGATACCTAGAAGTCAGACTTTCTTGAACGAAAATTAATCTAAAACAATTCCTACTCTTGTTTTAGAGAAAACATAACACATAATAAAAAGGTAATGATCCATTTTTTCTTTTATGTTTACAGATTTATGATGTACTATTGTTCGGCCTTTACCGAATAAAAAATGACATTGACAATCATTTCCGAATGTATATCACAATAAAGAAGCAACTAGACAATAGATTAAGCAAAGGAAAAGGCCATCTGAGGTATTTGTTGATCGAACGCGTTGCATTTCAGCATCGATATCGGCAAATATATTCCTCACCGGTGTTCACTGAGACCCATCAACGGATCCTATCAAAATTAGTTACCTTAGCCACAAGCAGATATAGCCAGGTAAATTTTTTTAATTTTGTCGTAAGAAGAAAGTATTGAATTGATTTATCAGTATGTTTCGTAGACTGCACAGCAGGAACAATATTAATACAAATTTCATGTTTTTATGATATCACATCCTTTATTGTACGTAGGGAGGCAGAGTAGGTAGATAAAACAAGTGAATTACAATTTTATAATATTTCTTAAGAAAAATACATCTTCAGGCACATAGAAAATTCAAAAAACGCTCAGTAAGCTCAGGAGGCTGTAAGGAACATAATACTAAAATATAACCTGTTGCCGAATTTCTGAATATCATCAGAATTACGTAATTTAAATACAGCCCCTTTAACATTTGCAGTAGCGGTGAGAACTTGAAGTTTGTCATTCCCTACAAACTGGAAAGTTTTTCTATAAGAAAATGAACATTACTTAATGCTATCAAAGTTTTGAACATAATTTAAGTGAATATGTCATCAGTGAATTTTAATTAATCTGAAATCTGTCATTTCACTATGTATCAGATTTATTGAGTAATTTCTCGTGACTTTTCTTTTTGTGTGTGTGTGCATGTTTGCTAATAACTATTCAAGAGTATGTTTTAAAAAAAAAATTAAAAAAGGTATGATTATGCTAAGATTTTTTGTTTTGTTTCCGTTTCTGAAGGTGCGAATTATGTCGCAGTCAAAAGTTTTCCAAACTTTAGAGTATTACCAATATTCATACTTGACAATCATTCCAGAGTTAAAACGACTGTTATCCCTTGACCCTAACCAGTATCACGAGCAGTTCAAGGTTTGTTTTCATTCAATTTCCATTTAAATTTATCTCCGTTCTTCTATGTTGCTGCAAATATTTTTCTTCATCTATCTTTTAAATTTTTTTCAAGAATTTACGCAGAGAAGCCCCCTAAATTTCAAAAATTTTGAATTTTGAGATCTCAATAAAAAGGAGATTTTCACCCCAGCTGTTACTGTGAGAATTTAATTCTAGTATACATTTAAGATTAGATAAGCTCAAAATTGCAGATGTACTCATCTCTAAACCTGCAAGGGTTTAAAATAAAATATATTTTCTATTCTGTTCTTTTCCTTTTATTTCCGAGCTGACGTAAATTTTGCATGAACAATATGACCATGCATCTTAAATCAAGGTTTTTTATTTAAGTTTCACCCTGCTGTGTTACCTTTTTGTTTTCTTTTACTAGTCTTAATGTCAAAGATACAGCATTTATTACCTCTTCTTTTCTCTACAGGGATCGTTACATCTTTTATTAGGTGATAAAACGGATCGACCTCTAATCGTGAAGTATGACTGGGAGGTTTTATTAGCTGTATGGCCTACCATTGTTCAAACCATTCCATCTGAGAAATTATCTGTGATTCACCTCCTGGAGAGGTTGACTGATGTTGTCCGTAAAAATTTCCCTACGATAGGAATAACCCAAGAGGTATGTATTCACCTGCTTATCTTTTTTTATCATGAATTTTTTCTACTTTCATTTTGCTTTCAACCCATTTGCATCTACAGGTGAGTCTACTTGTCAGTACCATCTCAGGACAAATTGATACGCATCAATCAATTTGCAAAGTTGGCAGTATTTAGCTGACTTTAGAATAGATAGGGTCATGGGTATTTTTCTGTAGATTGACATTTGATGATATTTGATGGTAGTTTTTTCTCTTATGTTAATTTGCTTTTCATGTCAAAAAATATTCACCTAACAATATCATTCCGCTATTTTGGCTGATTTTACATCTTTCTTTCATGTGTTCATGGTCGATAGCTCCAACAAGTGTTCGATTGAGTTCCTGTAGGGTATAAGCAGAGTAGATTTCTAGTGGAAAGTTGGCAACAAGGGGTCAAAAAAGAGATCAGAAAAAGTCATTTACCTGATGATTTTTGCGAGGATAGATTTTGATGACAATTTGGAGTCAGCGTGCCAATTCAGGGGCTGAAATTAATGAATTCAAAATGTTCACAAATATAACATGATTAGCATGACATGGTTTCGTTAAAATTTTATACTTTGTCCATAAGTCGAAGAATATGGAAGTAAATGTTGTGATTACTGCATTTTCATAGATTCCTGATAGCTGTATCGCTCCAGCTGCTCAACTTGTAACTGCTTCAAAGCCTCTACCTTCCATCAAACTGCCGAGTGAAGAAGAAATTAAAATTGGATCAAAGAAATTGTCAGAACAAAACGAAAGGAACAAGAAAAATTACTTCGCCCTTTTGCATTCCTTAAATGAACTAATCAACACTAGATCTTTGTAAGTGATTTTGCCCCTTTACCACCTAGTGTAATAATAGTTTTATCCATCTTTATATTTGTGCCGAATTTTTTTCCTCCTGAGTGCATTCTCCAAAGGCTAATTGACTTTCCTCTCGGATCTTAACTTTGCTGATTTTTTTCAATTGAAATTTAACCGTGCATTCAAGATCTGTTCATGTGTGATTTCTTTCAGGATGAGAGAAGACTAACATCTGACATATTCCTTACAATGATTTTGTATGATATCATGGGAGGAGGATTCTTGAAATGATCTGTTATTATCAAGAGTAATTTACACAGCGCATTGAACATTTGCCTATTTCTCTAAAGTATTCAAAAATATTTTGATTGCATAACAAGTAATCTGTGGTCACAAGCTAGTTTGTATCAATGACTTTATGGAAAAATTCATAAAAAAATGGGGGGGGGGGAAATTGTGTCATGAAATGTGAGTAGTTTGATCATTCTCTTTGTATCATAAACCGAGGTTACCCTTATGGTTAATTTGGTGTATTTGAGATGGTATTCAGTTTTTTCCTCTCCTTCTCTTTTAATTTACAGGTTTACTCACATGATTTTTGCCTTTTATTTGTTTTGTAAATGCATTTGTATTTCTACCTCTTATATTCATGCAATTTCTCTTCCCTGTACACATCTTAGGCATTGGCGATTCCACAGCATGGCTTTATCATTCTTAAGGGACTTGGTGCATCTTGATGAAAACTATCCGGCCGAAGTAGTATCAACGTTTCTCAACAATTTGATACATGATCAGCTAGATCTAAGAAAAGTAAGATTCTCTTTTTCTGCTTGTCCTTTTTTAATCACTCCTAAAATTGTAGTCAAAACCCTCTGACTTAGAATTACACATAATAATATGTTGAGAAAGTAAAGAAACTTGGATTTTCACTCATTCCCTTCAGTTTGAGATAATTCTCTACCTCAGTGTAAAAGATCTTTATATTTTAATGTGCTGAATTGATCTTGCTAATTAATTTGTTACACTTAATCTCTTATTCAAAAACAATTAAAAGTCTTTCAATACAAAAAAAAAAGTGGAATTCTTCCTTTGTGTCAAATATTTGCTTTTTTCACTCCTGTTTTTTAATTTGAACTTCCTCTCGTTACAGATAGCAATAAGGTGTGTCATTTTTGTCTTGCAACAACAAAAAAGATCCCGAGTAAAAATAACTGTGGATCCTTACAAGATTAGTGGTGTTGAAAAGCCCTCCAGTAGAGTAGTGCCTGGTAACCGTGAGGACAATAAATGGCTGACATACTGCCCAGAAAACATCCCGAAAAATTCCGAAGAGTGGGACCAATCACGTTATGTGCATAAACATTATTTTGGATACTATTCATGGCCCACGTAAGTTCAGATTTTGTATATTTCAAGTTGTACAAATACCCAGGCTTGCCGCTTTAGGTGTCATATTTTACAGGGTTGCCTCTGTCAGAAAACCTGGAAATGTCAAGGAAAATGACTAAAGTGTCAGGGAAATATTGTTAAGTCACCTTTATTTGCTTTCTAGAATGGGCTTGATGTTCCGAACAACAAATTTTGGGTGAATACTATTTCTAATTACGTTTTTTTATAACAATCTAGCGTATCTTAAATTATCAGGGAATTTCACCAAACTGTATCGAGGAGCTGTCCAGTAAATTCACTCTCTAAATCTGTGGCTTCCCTGATTTGACATTTCACTTTGACTCTGCGCTGAATTTCTTTCAATAATTCCTCACAATTTATAAATGAATATTGAACCTTATTTTAACCTACCAGTTAATGGTTCTGTGTGTATCCTTAGCTTTTTAATTCAGCTAAAATGTTTTTTGTTGCAGAGAAGTGAAAGTGAGCGCTCCCTACAAAGATCAACCCCCTCTAGACAGAAAACCAGAAGACCTGAATCCTTGCGAGAGAAAAATTTTTGAATTTTTCAATGATCCCAACTTTGTCGCAAAACTGGTAGAGTTCTTGTCATTAGAAGAAAGGAAAGGCAAAGATAAATTTGATGCCCTGAAATTCTCCTTGTTCAAGGTAATTACGAATTGTGTATCTGACTCGAGTTCTACCTTAGAAAATAGGCTAACCCTTGTATATTGACCTATTTTATTTTGTTTTTTAAAAAATTAAACATTTTGCATTTTGTGAGAATTTATGTGACCTATCACATGAGCTTTTTTTGCCTTTTGTTCCTTAAAATTACTCTAACACAATCTGCAAAGGAAGGTCTAGCCAATTCTTTAATGACAGTTTTCGTTTGAAACTGAGTACTCCGTATAGGTGAAAAATTGACTCTCCTACAATGCTGAAAGATGGTCCTGCTAGGACAGTTAATTTCATATTATTTTATCATGAAATTACTATGACAAGCTCCATGTAAAGCCCTTGCTAAAGTGATATCGTGTAATACAAGTTCACTCCTTTAATAATTTAATTTATTTTTCATGTTTCTACATCCCCCTTCTGCTATCTTTGTTTACTTATTTTTGTCAGTAGCATTATTGTGAGATCAAGTGTAGTTTCCATTAATTAAAGTTTTTTCCTGAAACAGGGTCTTTTCCGTAACTACGGTGACACTTTCCTGGAGCATTTCAAACCTCATATCGAAAGGTTAGTGTCAGACAAGCAAGAGTCTAGTCAGCGTTGTGGAGCAGAAATGATTACAGGTAAATATTACTTCCTTCAGGTGCATCCACTTTGAGATCTTTTCTTAGTCTTTTATTACTTGTTGTGAGCAAGGTAAGGGGGAAAAATCTCCATTCACAGCTTACAAATATTGAATTCAGTGTTTTGCGAGCAATCAATAAAAGTGAAAATTATTATTTGTGGTACATACATTTTTCAATATACTTTTTTTAAAATCAGGCCTGTTGTTCTCCCTGGAACACCAAGCATAAGAGAGTTGCAAGTAACTTGGGTGGCGGGTCTTCAACTGTTTCTAAATCTAAATCTTTTTTGTTCTTTTTAGCAGCCTACTTACCTTATCAAAGTGAACACCAAAATAGGGTCATTAAAGACATGAGCATTGATCAAAAGTGTGATTGATGAGAGTTCCAAAAGTAGTACGATGCCCTTGAACTCTGTTTTTTCATTTTTATATATCTAAAAAGGGAATTAAAAGCACTGATGAGCATTTTCCATCAAACGATATTTCAATTTTTTCTGTTATTTTCTTTACTTACAAAAGTCCAAAGGATAAATTACTTTAGTGCCAAAAATTTCAAAATAAAGATTGATTCCACTCTCTGGAGGAGTGTCTTACTTAAACATTTGGTGAAATGAGGCTCAAAAATATTGTAGGAAATTGAAGTTATGATGGTTTGAAGTCCGTAGTTTTAAAATGTGATTTTGAGAGAAAACTTATGAAAATTAAAATTTGCCAAGAGATCTCAAAATGTTCAGTTTAAATTTTAACCTCACACTCTCCTTTTACAAGAAAATGAGTAAAACAAGTGACAACTCATTGTTTGGGACACCGAAGAATTTTTCTTGGCAGAAATGCTAATTCCAATTTTTTGACCTAGCTGTAAAAAAGTTACCATAAAAGGTTACTTTTCTAGAATTTAAAAAATGTGCCTTTGCGCAACAGGACCTATTTATCCATGAATGGCTCAATTAAAACAAATTTTTTAATTAGTTTATCCATGAGATGTTTCTTCTTTCTTTTCTAGTAAGCTTTTAAAGTCACGCAGTCTATTAGTTTCTTTTCTTTTTGTTCTGTCATCATCTCTCAGGTTTGATACGAGGCTCAATACACTGGCCCTATGAAAAAGTAGCTAACTTATGGGTCTGGCTCAAACCAACACTGCGCACTGCTCTATCAAACATGACAGTGGAAACAGTCAACGACTGGGGAGTTTGTTTTGCTACTTCGTCTGTAAGTATTTACTTTATTCATTTCTATTCAATTTTCACTTGACAACATATAACCTATTACAAGTGTTTGTGGGTGGGGGTAGGGGGATAAATAAGTCAGAAAAGCAAGTAAAGAGCCAGTCTGCCAAAAAGTGTGAAACTATCGATTAATAACTAGAACAGTTCTATGCATTGAAATTTTTCGGATTGCGCTTTGTCCATAAATCGTTAATGTGTAATCAAATTATTTGACTCGAATATGCTTTAGAAAATACCCAAGAAGTACAAGACTTTGACCCTAAAATATTCATTGTCATCAATGTTTTTGTCACTCTTTCCTATTTTTAGGAAAGCAGAGATCCAAACAAACTCCATTGGTTGATAGAATTATTACTAGAAGATCCTATACCTGAAGAAGCATCTTTCATCATTTGTGGGTAAGTGAAGTCAATTTGCAGTTAAAGAAGAAGACAAAGCATTTTTCAAAGAATTTTAAGAATATAGGCCCTGTTGAGGTAATGTCCAATAGCTTTTGGAAGGTCATCAGTCTCTTCATTTTATTTTTTTTTTTTTTTTAGAAAAGTTTCTAAACTCGAAGTAAATGGAGATGTTGCATATGTGAGGAATTTGCGATTTGACTATCAATTCTTATGTAAAAGGTCGCGAGAAACACGATGGTGCCACTGGTTTTCTCTGAAAGCAACTCCCAAGCTCAAAAAAAGCTCTCAAGTTGAGGCCAAAATGGAGGGGATATCCCATTCTATCCTGTGAGTCCACCTCTACATCAAGACAAACTCTCCATGCAAAGATAGGGAGCAAATACATCAGCAGGGTTGCTGTGTTTTCAGTTTTTGAGTCCCCAAATAAAGTGGCAGCCCTGTCAATGTATTTGCTCCCCATTTTTGCATGGAGAATTTGTCTTGATGTAGACGTGGACTCTCAGGATAGCGTGGGATATCCCCTCCATTTTGGCCTCAACCTGAGAGCTTTTTTTGAGCTTGGGAGTTGATTTTAGAGAAAACCAGGGGCACGATTGTGTTTCTCGCAAACTTTTACCTAAGAATCAATAGTCCAATCGCAAATTCTTCACACATGCAACTTCTCCATTCTCTATATACATCAATACATACTCGCTCATGTTCCTCTATAGTGCTATCCGGTGCTTTATGAACTCTTATTGCTACTGTCCCCTCCACCCTCTTAAAAGGTGGCCTGTACACCTTCACCGAGGAAAAATCAAATAGGACCTTCCGAGGCAATCCGCCTCCCACTATTCTCTAGACATCACCATGTTGTTTCTTCATAATGTCATGCAAGATGGCCTGTTTGGCATCCATTATTTTCTGTACCGCTCTATTCCTAACTCAATCCCATCTAAAAATACCAGCTGATCTATGGTAGAAGTCCATCTTGTTGCCTCTAAAACCTCCCTGGTCTGCTGTTCGACCACACTTCACGCTTGTTTCTATTAGAAAAAAGAAAATTGGAGCGAAGAAGATTTTGAACCATGGCAATAGAGATTCAAGGTTTCACACCTTAACCTTGGATTTATCATGGAAGAAAAAGTAGTAAAAATGGCCACTTAAGGGCCCTGAAATGGTGGAATTCACCAATACTGAGCTAGTTTTGTTGAAAACATTTACATTCTGTCTTCGATATTTCATCTTGCTGCTTAAATCAAGTACCAGCGTTGTCTACACGATTTCCAGTACATATATTAATGTCAGAAACATAGATTGGTAAACTAAACCAGCTCAAATTTCCTGTATCTAGCACTGCGCCTATTTCTGTAATACTGCAACATCTTACGGGTAATTCATATTTGTTGTCCGTGTTTGTTCTGATTACAATTCCTGAGATTTCAATGTGATTGGATTTATCATTTCTTTGGAATGGATTATACTAGATTGACCAATGGCTTTTACTAATTTTGAATATTATTTTTAACCATTTTAGCCGTCTAACGGCGTTACAAGGTGTGCTGAATCAGCAGTCATGGCGGGTCTGTCATGCATATCACCAGCTATTGGAAATTGTGAAGAAATATCTCACTCACGAATTTCAAAATGTGCGAGATAGATTAGGAAGGTATGTCATTAAATGCTCTTCATCACCAAATACAGTAAGACCTCGATCCATCAGAATTAAGATTTAAAGGAATTTGTAATTTAACGGATCAATCTTCCGTTCCCTTCAAGGGCTTCAAGCTATTTGAATCGTCAGATTTCGAGATTTAATGGATTGATTTGCCAGTCCTGTGAAATTCGATAAATCGAGGTCTTACTGTATTTTATTTTTAAATTATGTTTGAATAAGTTTGAGGAAGGATCTTCTTTAGCCTAAAAATTTAATATAAATGTGACCTTTTTTGAGAGAAGGAAATTTGTTCAAAAAAATGCAAAATAAAACTGTCGCAAAATCTAGAAATTGCCTTGAAAATAGATGTTTAAAAGCCAGTAAGAAAGAAGTAAAAGCATTCCCCCATGAGAAAATATAATATTCATATAAACACTAAAAGACACTAACGAGGTATGTTCCTTAAGGCAAGAGACCACAAAATATGCATATCAATTTTCTACTGAGAAAAAAAAATATCTAACCTCATTCCGTGGTACATTTTGTCACAGTTTCATGGAATTTTTTCTCTTCTGCTTAAACAAAAAAAGAAAATAAGAAGTTTCATCTGTTTTTCCTTACAATATACTTGATTTATTTTCACTTAGAGAAACGTGAAAACCAGTTCCAAAAGAAATTTGAGGGAGAGGGCTTTCAGGACTGAACTAGAAGTCTTGTAACAGCCACACAGTGTTCAACTTTCATATGATTCATGATGTTCATTAGAGAAAAAGTTCTCTGTCCCGACGGACTGAACTGATAATTTTTCAATAATTATTCACGTGCTGTCTTTTTTTTTTCAGTGTATTGAGCAACATCTTTAGCACAGATTTGCGGTTACAAGATGAAAGTAACTCGAATGCGCCTCAGATAGATCAATTTTTAGCTGAATTCATTCCCCAAATCGGAGTTCTCTCTTCTGTTGCTCTTCAATCTGATGGTAATTTCATTTAGAATTAAAATCTAATCTTAGAATGCAATATGAAGATTCTGAATTTGAGCAGATGATAATCATTGTCCAAAGTGTAATTTTGAGGATGGGTCAGTTACGCTGGCCATAGAATCGTGTTTAGATGCTTGATTCTTGTAGATTAGCTGAAAATAATAAGATCTGTCCACACTGCAACTTTCTACGTTCAATATTAACTGAGATATCGCTCTTTGAAAAGTTCGGTTTTTTACATCATCCACTGCGGCAGCAACACCCTTGCTTTCTTCATCTTTTCCTCAATCAGTGATGCAGAGGGTGCAATGCGGAACTTAAACGATGTTAATCGTAAAAAAACTCAAGAAACAGATGGATTCACACTTTAAAGATCTTATCAGGAGATAATGCACTCGCTGCGAAAAGATTGGGCGGTCAGTTGCAGCTCACCTCAGTATGTTTACATTTAACGTCGTTGAAGTTTCACGTTGCATCCTTTGCATCACCAATCGAACAAAAGGGGAAGAAACCAAGGGTGTCACTGTCGCGGTGGATGATGTCACTAACCAGACTTTTCAAAGGCCGATAACTCGGTTAATATCAATCGTAGAAAGTTGCGGTTCGGACAGTTATAATTATTTTTGCTAATCTACAAGAATTAAGCATCAAAACACTATTCTGTGACCAGCTTAACTGACCTATTAGTTATTCAACTGAAAGTTTGCTTCATTAAAGTATTTTCTGTGTTGAGCCGAAAATCAGCTGAGGCAAAAAGATACCATTTTTTGGCATGCAGCCATCACAGTTAGTAATCAAAGTGCTATTTGTTAAATTTGGAAGGAAAATTCAATACAACCTTTAGTGAACCATGCAACCTCAAGTTTTAGATTTACATATTTGTGTCTGTTCAAATCTGTCATATTGATGGCTTCTTTGAATTTGCAGCTGTGGTCAGTGAAGCGATGGATGTAGATGAACCAGGAGAAGGTAGCTCTCAAATCAAGGAAGAACCAAGAGCTGCAGAAAATCATGTGTTGGATGATAAACAGAAAGATGCCAAACTTAGATTGTTTAAAACTAGTGAGTAACCTCATCAAATCCTTCAAATAAGAGTTAGTTTTGCTCTACATTGAGAGCTATGTTGCTACCCTGTAGCAGTATAGAAATGTACAGAATCATCACATGTTCAAGAGGAAAATTTTTTGTGTGCAGTAGCAACTGTTTTATTCACTTGCATTCAGGAGGTGTTGATCTTAATAACTAAAAAGAAGAGGCTCCCAGAGCCATTTCTAAAAAACCCGTGAGTTAAAAATTTGCTATCCTCTACAAAATTTCCCGAGAAATATTTTGAATTTAAGTCAGAAATGTTTGCAGAGAGTTAAAGGAAATCCCTAACAGTCAACTTTCGCAAGTATGCAAGCAGCTGGACAGGGGTCACGTACTCACTGAGAGATTTTTCTAATTGAAACAAAAACTTGTTTTTTGCGCTGTAATTTCAAATTCTGGTTAAGTACACATCCTCAGACCCCATCTCGAGGCTCAAATCCCTCCTAAATTGTGTGAGACAAGCTAAACAAAACAAACTGAATAAACCCCTATGGGACTCCCCTTCCCCTTTCGTGGGGATTTGTGTGTCCCTGTGGTACTGTGATCTCATTGTCCTCTAATTTTGTTTGATACAGTTTGCAAAGGGACTTTATCCACGCTTTGTCTTGCGCCATATGGAATTCGACCAATCTATATGGAATTATTCCCTCTTCTTTGTCTCATGGAAAACTATGAAAATGATGATGAGATGAAGAAAGTCTGCAAAGCGCTGATAGCATTTCTGTCTCAAACCTGCCTTCCTGCTGATTGTGTTCCTTCTGCCATAAATGCCATCGAAAAGGTAATCTAAAATATGACCAAGTATTTTGTAACAACGCAATTTTTTACAATAAAATATTAGTCATTTTATCTCCACGAAATGCAGCCATTACCAATTTTCATGAATAGAACAGCTGATAGTAATAAGACAGAGAATGGTTGTTAGCTGACTTTCGGTCAACAATTGTAAAAATTTATTTTCAAATTTACCGTGGGAGTTAACCCGCTTAAAATGAGAAATCCGATACAGATTGCTGCTGACAGGATAGATCCTGGAATACTTCCATTGGAAGGAATATTGTTTTAAGTTCACGGAGACATGTGTTGTAATGTGAAAATTTTCTAACAGTCATTATAAGTTTCGATTTTTTTGCATTTGTATCCCTGGTTCACCTACAAAAGCATCTATCTGCACAGGGAAATTAATGGCACCTTCGTTGTTTCATAATGAGCCAATCGTAAAATGTTATCGAATTGCAATTAGCCAGTAGTGTCTTTTTTTCTTCTTTTTTTCTTTTATTATTTTTCTTTAAGTACTGAGTAAGTTTAACTGTTGGTAATTTTTTCAATTTTTTTTTTTTATTCAAGATAATGGAAAGAGTCCAATTTGAAGTAACCAAAATCTGCACATGAAATTTTACTCCGGGGACAAGTGACTGATTCGCTGATGAAATGTTATGCCACTGGCTCATTGACTATAAAATAAATTTAGTCATCTAGCAAAATTTCTCAGAAAAATAAGATAAAGAGAATAAAAAGAGTATTTTTTAAGTGGAAAAGTTTTTTTCTCTAACGTGGTATATTAATTCTTTAAATTCTCTATTTAGGTCTTTAATAGTGGTTCCTGGTCAGCAAAACTGGTATCTCTAGATTTCACCCAAGTATTTATCTTTCACAACATGGCCTTGATCATCAGTAATCCATTGTGGATTAAGCAGGTAAGAGTCATTATCTTGTCACCCTCATTTTTCGTTCCTTCTGATTCTTGGATAATTTTTTCCCTGTTGAGAATGAGTGCATGACTTGCAATAGCTTCAGCTGTTGCAATTCTGCCCACAGATGGAAGAAACTCTGAATCACACAATCTAAAAGAAATGTTTATATTGTAAGAAGCAGCCAGAAATTTGTTTTTATCCTTTTTTGTTTATTTTTCACATACCCTGCTTGTGGACCTTTAACTATAGCTCCAACAAACTGAGAAAATATGCACTTATTTGATAAATATATCACAATATTTCTCGTTCTTTGGAGAAGCATTTATCCGTTCTCATTATTTCTTGTTTTGCATTTGACTTCCTCCAGGTGTCAGAGATGGTAGAGAAATTATTAGAAAATGAACGTGTGGAGGTGAGGGAAAAAGCCGGAGAGGTATTGAGTGGTCTGCTGCATTGTGGTTTTATTTCAAACCCAACTGATTTATTGGTAAGTTGTCTTGTTATTCCTAATTTCTTTAGTTTCCTTGTATTAGAAACATTTGAATCCCCCCAGAAGTTGAAGAGATGAGGCGAAAAAATTGGAGGAATGAAGAGTGTTATCAAGGTCTGTTTCAGAATCCTATCCTTTTAATTCATTGAACTCTTGATACGTAATAGGCCTTTGTAGGAAAGATTTTTCTAATTACAAGGTGTCTAGAGAGCAGGAGAACTGGGAAAGTCAGGAAGAAATCAGGGCAAGAAGACATTCAATTGAGAGAGTCGCAAACTTTCATGCAAGGTTTTGTGCACCTCTTTCTGTAGACACTTAAATTTCTAATTTTTAAATTTAATTTTCAGGCAAGATTCAAGAAGGTTTGCAAAACAAGTTTACGGAAGAAAAGCAATTTGTCCGTCAAAGCAGGCAACAACATCGATCATAATTTAATTGCCAAGAAGCATGCTGGAGTGTTGGGACTGTGTGCCTTCATCCGAGCTAGTCCTTATGATATCCCAGAACATTTACCCGAAATCATATTATTATTGGGTGATCATTTGTCAGACCCGCAACCTATACCTGTAAGTATTAGTGTTTCATTATTTCTCCTATCTGCTGCTTGTTCTACTTCTTCAGTTTCATATGATCTTGTACCATGTACCCTCTCCTTCTTTCAGACTAGCGAAATGCTCGTGACTGGAGTCACGGGTCTAGAGGCCGCTAAAATATCTATAACCCCTAAAAAATGGTGGTAAGGGAGCAAGACATGTCATTTAAAAAAAATGATAAAATCGATAGAAAAATGAGTTGAGGGGAGAGGGTGATGGAGCTAGAAAAATGAGCTGGGGGGGGGGGTAGAATAAATGCTGGCAAAAAAATTAGAACTAACCTGGCAATGATTTAGTTTTAAAAAAAAAAAAAAATTAAATAAAACATCAGCTGATAGCAAACAAAGGTTACCTAGGAAACCAAGGAATGGAACTTTCATAAAAACAGATTAGTGGAAAACAGCGTAAGTAGGGCACTTTCGTTAATTACCGTTTATAAGTAAACGGTAAATGCGATTTAACCAAAAATTCATACAGTTCTTTACAAGACGAAAATGGACAAAATTACAAAATTTGAATAGGCTAACGTAAATCTAACGATAGTTATCGTGAACGAAAGAATTGACAACATAGGTCGGGTAACTTTTATAGGTGGGATTATAGGTGGGATATTTATTAAATCTCTAATTTAAAAATTGAAGTCATTACTTAGACTTATTTCTGTCAACAAAGGCAGCTACTTGTGAAGGAGCCATTTAAGTATTATATAAGACACTTTGATGGTGAAACGATCAGACCATGTACCTCAGTTTTTGACGTTGTAGACTTCCTGTCTCACTTTATTTTTTAAATGGAAAACCAAGCAACCTCAATTCTTGAAAACTTCCGCAATTTTCCACCTCCGTGGGGACAAAACTCTGTGAAATTCTCAAGAAATGATAATGATTTGTTCCCGTTCAAATAAATAATATGTGAGTGGAGATTTTTAAACACTGCTAACGAGATACGTGGTTTGGTAGTGTTCTCTGTCGACTTTGCTTCGAGTCAAAGTTCATCATACGAAAGGCCACTTTAAGCGCCAAGTAAATGATAAAGCAAACTCAGAATGTTTTAATCTTAATATTTTTGTGTCAATTTTTTCTCAGGCAACAATTCGTAAAACTCTAGGAGATTTCAAACGAACTCATCATGACGACTGGGATACCCATAAAACAAAATTCACAGAAGAGGAGCTTTTGATCATCAGTGACCTAGCAATACCTCCATCTTATTTTGCTTGACAGTCCAGTCCTGTATTCTTCAACACTGAGTTGTATTTTTGGGTCTAATGTGCAGCTATGAAATGAAGTGTTTCCAGTATTTTTATGATCCTGCAGATGTATTCGGTTTCCGATAAGATAGGATCAGTTTTGATGTAGACACTAACTTCATCTCTGTAATAGGCATGTCTCTTTGTGCTGGAACAAGATTCTGTCAGTTGCTACCAGGAGTGCAATACATTAGACTTAAATTTATCATAATCTCACTCTAGAAAATCATGCCTTTCAACAGATCTATCTGTCAACTCAGAAAATGTTCATCATTGAAGAAAATAAGTAAAGATTTTTCAAAGATAAAGAAAAAAGGCGCTCATCAATTGATGTAATTATTCTAAGTCCCACGTCCCACTCTTTCTGAGTAAACATCCTTGGCCCCTCCCCTCTGTTGTTCTACCATTTGCCTTCAACAGAAATTTTTGCACTTTCGACATCCAGTTTTTTATTTTTAACTGTGTTTCAAAGTTGTGCACGAATTTAATTTTTTTTCTATGCCTTATTGAAATGTACCCTCTGCGAGAAAAATTATTCTTCTGTATTAACAGTCTCTTTTTTTTCTTTTTAAAAAATAATGATAAGAGCTTTGATGATTTGAGTATTGATTCAATATTTTTTGCTGAGATTTTAAAAAACTTACCATATATTTTGACGATAAAACTGGGTGAAATTCGGTGGTAGGGTGTTAGATGACTAGCTATTCTAATCCATAAGGCTGATCCATTCTATTTTTCAATCTGTCACTCCTCATCTTATCTGAATCCAGTCGCTGAATGACTTGACACCCTCAGTTTTTTATTTTCTCCTGAATTCTCAGAAACAGCTATTTCTTTCTGCGTCATGTTCAGTATTTTTACAAGCTTTTTCAATGGTGTCCCATTATCAACTTGTATCGGAATTCGACTCATACCTATCTAAATTCTTGTACCCTGTAAGTAGATTATTCAGCGTTGATTTTTAACACAAGAAGTCTATGTCTCTTGGATTAAAGCATAATCAAGAAAATATATTTGTTGACTTTAGAGTAATCACCTATAAAATTAATGAAAGCAATCAATCGCTAATTTTATTTAAAGCAAATGTAAACAATCCTGGTTCCAAAAAAATAAATTATTGAAAGCAATTAATCACCACTTACGTTTTAAACATATTTTTTAGGCGATTCATCATCCAAAGGAATGAATTTTATTGCAATTAAAGTATCTGTTTTTGTAAAATCAGTCAAGTGTTCTTTACAACTTTTTGCTCGAGGCTCTCTAAAGCCATTTTCAATTCAAAATTTTCTTTTCTCTCTCAATTTTATAGATTTCTAAAAATATTTTATACTTCTCTCAATTTACTTTTAAGATACTAATGTAAGACTTCTTCTAAGTTTCCGATTATTTGTGGTTCTTACTCGTCAATTTAGTACGTAATCAAAGCATTGTTTTGTTAATCTTAAACAATTTTTATTGTTTTCTTTTTAATTTTTATTGTTTCAAATTGAATAAAACCTGTGTTTGCATCTGTTGCATTTAATCTTATTATAATTTCAAATTGGCCACTGCTTCCTTTCAAAAACTATGGTGGTTTGTCATTTATAGCTAAACTTTCTTGGATTAGCCTACCACTCACAGAACGGTTCTGCTATCTTACCAATAAGTCAAAATCGAGTGTCCAAAAGAGGACTAATTAAGGGGGGGGGAGAGAGCTGTCAGAATTGTGCGAATATTCAAAAACACTGTTCTTTCTGATTTAATTTTCTTTCGGAGAAGTGAGTTGAAAAACAAAATAATTATTCCAAATTCTCCCCCCTCCTACCCTCATCACCCGTTCAAATGACACCTGGCAAACACACACGCACTCGCAGAAATAATTGCAACAAACGTGCAACTCGAATTTTGTCCGCGGTGGTAGTGGGGAATTCCTTCGCTGAAAAACCAAAACCATCCAAGTGCTTTTCTACCGTGAGCCCGAGAAAGAACGGCCGTAAACGGGGAGGAAGGCTCAACTTGGATTGGTCGATATGCTGTTTTGTCTCCCGTTTCTCTCGCACTCATGGATCACAGGCGTTCAATCCGTTTTTGCATGTGAATAAAACTCTCTGCTTAAATGTAATGAGGATTTAATTACGTAATATTTATTCGAATCGCATATATTTACATGATATTACAAATAACTTTTCTAGTCGTAAGAAGCTTCTGGGGGGGGGGGGGGGCAGGCACCATGGCCGGATTTACCTACTTGCCGCCCCCCCTCTCATTCGTTTTGAAACATCGATACAAACCATCAAGTGAACGTGCCGGAGTAGGGGGGATACATAAGACGCGTTTACTTGCGTTGGGCACATTTTTGTGTGAAAGCCCTGTCAATACTAGCAAAAGTTCGCGGAACTTTGCGCGAAAGTTACGTTCCGTAAACCTATATCTGTGTGGAAAAGGCCTTTCATTTATATGAAATGAACGAAAAAATTATGATAGAATAAAAATAAACATGAAAGTGGTTCTACAATTTTCATTTCCGCCACCGCGCCGACCGCACCGTGTTTGGCGCAGTGCGTGAAATATCCCTACAGTCTTGTAGGCACTTAGCGTTGCACGCCGACCGCTGCTGACCGCACTACGTTTGATGAATTGCGTGAAGTATTCATGAAGTCTTGTAGGCGCTAATACGTGTTTCATGCTGACCGGCGCGCCGATAGCTTCTCCTTTTGGTTTCTCTCTTAAATAGACTAATGAAAGGTGCTGTCACTTGTATCACGACGAAAAAATTAGAAATGGCTGTAGTTTAACTCTCAGGAAATGAGAGACTTTGTCGCCTTTTCTCGTTTGTAATTTTTTTTTGAATCCGATTTTTTTTTATACCTATCTTTGAAAAAATTTCAAAATTTACCGCCATGGGCCACGGCCCATGTGGCCACTCCCTAAATCCGGCCCTCGCAGGCACGTACCCGGGGGGGAGGGGGGGGGCTTGGGTGGCTCAAGCCCCTCCTGAAAGCAAAAAAAAGGAGGAAATGAGTGAAGAAAAGAAGAGATAGAAAATAAGAAAAGGCGAGAAAAAAGGAAGTTTGAACTTTCAAAATGTGTTAAAATTTCTAAAATTTTCCAAATGTGTTGAATGCAACAGTTTGAAGGTATTTTAGGCTGAAAGTAAAAAAAGGTACTTACTTTTTCCGCAGAAATTGATGGAAAATCTGCGTCATGCGTCCAAGTAGATTTAAAATTTCAAAAATTTGCCGGGGGAGATCCTCCGAACTCCCCTCTGAGCTGGAAGGTATGGAATACCTCGGCCCCCTTTTTCATCGTGGAGAGCCCCCCCCCCCCCTCTCCCGACCGAACAAAATCCTGGCTACGTGCCTGCACGAAGTTGTTCTCACAATCAGTCATGGGCCAATATATGAAGATATTAATTTTTGTATGAGCTCAATAAAAACATGTTACTGTTTTTTTCATTATAGCTGTCTCACACCAATCCTAAGGCTCTTGCGAGTGAAGAAACTAGACCGGAAATAGCGAATATTTTTCTAAACATTTTCAATTTTCGCGCTTCAAGCGGTGTTTTTGACGTAGCCAATCAAATTTCGTAAATCCGCTGGAGAAGTACCGGGAAGGGGTAAGCGGAAACAAAAAATTCAAAACATAACCTCTATTGATAAGCCCGATAAGCCAACTCGATTGACGCAATTAATCCAGAGAGTATAGTGGAGGATAGAAGCAAACGTGTTACATCAAAATTTCAACAAGTGTCAGTGATTAAACCTCCCACGATCTGCAATTTTAACCCGAAATCAAATGTCTCATTTATCAATTCAAGTGGTACCACTTAGCATATCTCATCAATTCAGCAAGCTCTTATCAGGTCTTGATTCTTGTCATCAAGACCAATGAGGAAACCTCTCTCTTAACTAAATTAAAAACATCAATACTCTCTTTTATATTTTACTCCAGGCGTGTGTTTCTCTATAGCTCCATCAATGGCTTTATCAAGATTCTTCATCCATAGGTGAGATTTTTATACATACAGACGTAAGTACATTCTGCTGCAAGTACAATTTATTTACATGGCACACCCATGCCTGAATTTGCCAAGTGAGCAAAGCGGCTGTTGCATTGCTGTGAGTGGGAACGGATCAATACATTAAGGTGATTCGTCAAGCTCAAGCGACATGGTCGAACTGGCATGCGATATATCGCATCGATTAAATCTTGACAGATTTTGAATTTTTAGCAAACAAAGGACGATAGCCCCTGCGCATAAGTCTAAAGAATCATTCTAAACCCAAATATCGGCAAAATTCAGAGAAATGAAAGCAGAATAGTGGCAGGAAAAAACCTCGCATACGATTCAGCTATCGATTTCTGTATCAAATGCGAGGTTTTTTTCCTAACACTATTCTGCTTTCATTTCTCTGAATTTTGCCAATATTTTGGATTAGAATGATTCTTCAGACTTATGCGCAGGGGCTATCGTCCTTTGTTTGCTAAAAATTCAAAATCTGCGGAGATTTTTGACCTAATCAATGCGATATATTGCATGCCCGTTCCACCACGTCACTTGAGCTTGACAAATCACCTTAACTTGAACTATTACTGGCTAGTGAATTAACCATCTGATTGAGTACCATAATAACTCTTGGAGCTTGGTCTATCAATATCCTTTATCTACAAGACGTAGGTAGAGGCCACATGATAAAAAGCACCTTTTTCACTCTTTTTCTTGCATTATCTCAGAACTTGAACTCACATTAAGGTAACATTTATCATGTGAATAATTGCCTGAAAATATAAGCTAGCACATAGTACATTGATAATTCCTTTGCTTTGACAAGTGTATCGTGTTTCTCAGAAGTAAGCTGAAAGATTGCAATTTGTCATGTCATCACATAAACTACTTCCAACCAATCTTCATTCCATCATCATTGTGGTTGTAAAACTAACGGCTTTGTCCATTTCAACCTTTCTTTTAGAAGTATCTGATCGCAATGAAGCAGGTGAAAAATTTAATGTGACCCCCTTACCTCTCACCTTACCACCTCCATTAAGAACGATTCTCTTATTCCTCAGGAGTATCAAGAGCAAGAATATTTTGTCTTCATGCTCTGTTTTTAATCTGCAAAATCAGAGGCTCAGTTATGAGCAACCTCCCATCAAAGAAGAAAATAATTTTAGAACAAAACATCTGTGGCGAGTTGGAATTGGATTATGCCTCTTTGGGTGCTCATACTACTTAATTAAAAGTAAGTTGCTCTCTTTAATTTTCTCCTTTTCCTCTCTTATTATATTTTTCTTTCCTTTTTTTTTTTTACCAACCACAACTTTCAAAAAACATGCAAAAATATTTAATTAAAAATAATCCTTCAGAGGAGAAAATGACCTAAGTGTCAACATCTTAAAATTTGTATATTCTGTTGCATGAAAGAGTATTTTTTTTATTTTTTTGACATCTAAGGAACAATTGAACCAAAGTTATGACAGTTTGAATTTGCCATTTAAAAATGTTGTTTTGAAAAAAAATTGACTTTAAGTTTAAAAATTATCTGCTTGAACTGAACTGCAAGTAAATAATCTTATGGAATACCTAGGTATAGGTACGCACCTACTATTAATGAATATTCTGCACATAAGCTCAACTATGAAATTTTTCATCTATCATGACTAAAGTTGCTCTCCTGAGAAATTTGCCTCCAGGGATAAAGTTCCCTCTTTCCATAAACGGTCACAAGTCCAAAAAATTTAAAAAAATATCGCCACAGACAATAGCTAAATGTCTCCCAAAATAGAACAGTAACTGTCATTTTTCTTATTGGGATCTAACAATTAGTTTTTGAATACTAGACAAGCAGGTATGCACTGCTTATGAATCAGTATATTCTAAGATGTTCTGTAGAAAACCTTTAATTGTCGTCATTTAACTTTAAGGAACCAAATTTATGTTAAGATTAATCTTAATGGTTTGTGTTAGACCCTAGATAAGACAAAAAATTGTAGTTATTTTTTATTTTTAGTATCATAATTTGTATCAATGTGTTTTTTGTGCTTTTTTCCATGAATTTCAGATGAATATCTCTATGTTGTTTCTGCAACAACTGAGAAGAGTAAGGCTACAATCAAAGGACTTCCAGAGTACACTTTGGATGAAGTCGCGGATCATGCATCAAAAGAAGATGGAATTTGGGTAACGTACCAGAGAGGAGTTTATGACATCACAAAGTTTGTCGAAGTGCATCCGGGAGGATCTGAGAAGATTCTAATGGCTGCTGGAGGATCTTTGGAGCCTTTTTGGTCCATGTACAGTGTTCATCAACAACCAAGTATTCTAGCCATCTTAGAGCAGTTCAGAATAGGTAAGGAGGCTCCTAGCTCTCATCAGAATTTCAGATGATATTAAAAAGCAGCGCATGTCAACTCAAAAGAGAGCTCTGATCAGTATCAGAGTTTAAAGCCCCTCAAATACTTAGTCAAATAGGTATGCAAGCAAAAATTGTGCTGAAACATCGCTAGAACTGGGGAAAGAAAAGAAAAGACACAAGTCACATCAGTCTGGATGCATCAATCATCAGTTGACCCTTTGGTTATCTGTTGAATCTAACCAAATATCTGTTGAATTTTGCAATTTTTGGATGTGACATTTGTCTCTTCTTTTCTTTCCCCAGTTCTACTCGTTCTACTATGTGTGGAATCGGAGTGATGGCAAGGTAATTTTAACTTAATCGAGTAGTTTCATTGAAGCAAACTTTCTAATGTCAATTGTTATTTTTAATTTAATCTCAGGAAACTTATCTGAAGCCGATGCCAAAGAGGTTGCTAAAGACGTATCTGATCCGTATTTGAACGACCCTAAGAGGCATCCAATTTTGCATCCCTCTTCTTTAAAGCCCTACAATGCGGAACCTCCTCCATCTATCCTTGTCGATAGTTATGTAACACCAAAGTAAGTTTTCACTCTACCTACCTAATCTATGTAAGTTTTCAATCTATTACTTAAGTCAATTGAATAATGAGCATCTAAAATTTACAAGAACATTAGGTATTTTGAGAATAGCAGAGCTAAAAAACCAGATTCAGGTAGAGGTGCAAAAAATCTAATTTTCCTCTTGTTTTAAACAGAACAAGGAAAAATGTAAAATGACCTTTTTTCTACTGGTTGGTCAGTTTGCTGTTTACTTCTACTTAAAATTTTTTTCTCTTTATTTACTCCAGATTTAAGAGAACAGCTCTCAGTATCAGCCTACGATATTGGTACAAATCATTTGAGTGAGTCTTGACAGCGAGAAACATTTTACCAGAGTCACCTTTTGACTAATGACTGAAATTTTATTCCCAATCTCTTTTTCTGCTATTTTTGTTGTTTTTTTTCTGGTATGATAACTGCAGTTAAGTATTAAACTCAGTTAATATCTCAGTAATTCAAGATTAGGCTGTGATGATTATGACTGCTCGAACGACACATATTGTTGTGCACAGCCACCTCCAGCCTTCGATGCTTCATGCCTTTTTAATAGATTGCATTGAGATCTTTTGCTCAACCCATCCAGATTTATAAAAAAGGACTCATAATTAGATTTTCTCTCCATGTCAGTAGTGGAAATACATTTTTTTTATGACTAGAAAAGATTTTAAGGACAAGATTCATAGCTGTACATTTTTTCACAGTGACTTATTTTATGTGCGAAATCACCTGCCAGTCCCGAAAGTTGAAGTTTCAACCTACAAATTGAAAGTCTATGATGCAAACATGAAAGAGACAAGTTTTTCTCTAGAGGATATCAAAACCAAGTTTCCAAAAGTGACGGTAACTGCTACTGTCATGTGTGCTGGTAATCGGCGCGGTGAAATGGTGAAGGTAAGTTTTGCAAAACATTGCATCAAATACACAACATTCTGTAATTACTATATCTTTCACACTTATAGTTTTTTTACCATAATAAAATAGGACAAATGGGTCTTACTACCTATCAAATCAAGCTCAAGAATCGAGTGTTTTTTTAAATTTTTGACACTAAATTTCCTTTCTGTTCTAGTCATCGTGATAAGGCTCAACTTTTTACAAGGATCTTGAGAATTTTTCATTTTATTTTACCAGCCACTTCTCATATCTCACTAATATCTAGATTTTAACTGTCTCAAAGATAAATGATGGAACAACAAAATCATCAATTATAATTGTTGATTCAATGGTAACAAATCATTTTTCTGATCGATTTGATCAGAAATCATCAATTATCAAGGTGCTAAGAAACTTAATAGACTTGAATTTTGCATTTGCTTGTTTTCTCCCAGGAATAGTTCATGTAGGTATTTTATGTTCAAAGGATTATTTTGCAGGTGAAACCAGTGAAAGGTTTAAGCTGGGGTCATGCAGCCATTGGTAATGCCACTTGGTCCGGAGCCAGATTACACGAAGTTCTTCGAAGTTTAGGAATTGATGAGACCTCTCCAAATATTGAACATGTTCAGGTCAGTTGGTAAGTCAAATTTTTTCATTTTATGAAGACTTCTCCGTCAAAAACTGGATAGGTCATACATTAATTATGTACTCCCACTTTTCCTCAAAATCATTGGAAATCAACTCGAATAATTTCTACTTTAGATGAGTAGGATGCTAATTGAAGCATACTACTCCTTAATCACAGTCTGTAAGAGTTCAATCCTATGTTTTGGTGTGTATTAATTGTAGGATCAGTTCATTGATTCAGTTAATTTTAACTTCTGAAAAATTTAGAATTAAAGCAAAATTGTGTTATTATTTGGATAAAAACGTATCTATTTACATTTAATGAATTTACTTTAAAATATTCCTTCTTACTATAGTTTGAAGGATTGGATACAGATGGTGTGAGCGTTTTCTATGGAGCCTCAATCCCAATTGAAAAGGCGTTAAACCCTGCTGGAGATGTAATTTTAGCCTATGAAATGAATGGTGAACCAATTCCCAGGGATCATGGATATCCTCTCCGGGTCATCGTACCTGGTATTGTCGGTGCTCGAAATGTCAAGTGGCTAGGTAAGATATGCATCTTTCCTGAATCTACCATGTTTCAAAAAGTAACATCAAAAGTTTATCATTGAAAAGAGTTATCTAAAAGGAACAACATTGATAAAAATTGCATAATTTCTTTATATCTTTTAGGAGTCCCTCAAAAAGTAGTGCAACAAATGCTATAACTTCAAAACTAAGTACATGAAGCTTTATCTTGGTATGTTTGAAATACATAGCTAAAAGCTTTAGAATTAGACCAAGATCAGCCCTTTTGGTGGGAAATTAAAAAAAGTTATGAGGGTCTGGAAAGTGAGTATTGTGTTGACCCCTACGACTTTTAACAAAGATTTTTGTTCCCAAAATTAGTCTCAAAAACTACTATCCGATGCGCTATTACGCCTCAAACAACTTGGCAACACCAAAAACACTCGGTGACATTCATGGTGGATGTCATCCTGCTAGGAGACCCAAAAGTCCAAAGGGCTAGTAGCCCGGTCGTCAGATTGCACCCCCACAATTGGGGAAATCTGGTCAGTGCAAAAAAACTCCTTGGTGCACAAGGAAGTATCGCTGTTACTGAGTAATTTTTATTCCGTTCTGTCCTCTAGGGAATATCATGATTTCATTAAAAAATCTCTTAGCTTGGTCTTTCAAACAAAACCAAGAGAAAGCATCTACCTAGCTTAATTTTGATGGAAAAGCATTCGTCTCAATACGTTTTGAACATCCTGCGTAATTTTGTTGATCCTTAGCAAGTGTTTTATTTTACAGGCAAAATAATTGTCTCCAAGAATGAAAGCGAATCACATTGGCAGCAAAATGACTACAAAGGATTTTCTCCAAGCACTGATTGGGATACAGTTGATTTCAAAACTGCACCTGCTATTCAAGAGCTGCCTGTGATATCTGCAATATGCGATCCCTCAAATTCAGAAACAATATCAGTGAAAAATGGCAAAATTACAGTGAGAGGTATTTTTTACAATCATTTTAAACTAGATCACGCTAAATGCTGTAAAAAATGTTTCTCGTATATTCCTTTTCTCATCAGCTCCCAGTTTCTTACCTTGAACATTCCCTTTACCCGTTGACTTTGAAGTATTAAATCAATTTCACCAGATATTATGGAGCACAACCAGTGGCTTGATGTACTTTGCGAAAAATCGATTGATCTGCTATACAAACCTGTGAAAAAGGATCAATAAACAGGGTATTAGCAACAAACACCTTAATAATCTATTCTTCACTATAGCTTTAAATAGGGAAATATCAATAATCGATCATTCATGCCTCGTCAGCACAACATACGGTGCTACATCTGCTAATTGCTCTCAGGTCGATATATATATTTTAAATAATCTCTACTTTCATTCAAACTCATTTATTCAGATTTTTTCTCTCTTATTCCAACATTAAAGGAGCCTTTCTCTCTTTTTCTGTTTTATTAAAAAGATTTTGTTGTCCTGATAACAGCAATCATATGATAATCTAAATCAATTTTCTGTGGTATTTATCACATGAAAAATTACTTCGAAGGACACAATGCTACTTAACATATTCAACCTCAATGATGGTCTAAATTTGAGTTTCTTCAAAATTTGACGTGTATAAAGTGTTATTTCATTGCCTCATGAAGACTTTGATAGTCTTATTATGCAACAAACTTTATCAGTTTTTACATAGTTTCAAAGTTTCATTCCTTTAAATATATCCTCTGCCTCCCAAAATTTTAGGTTACGCATGGTCCGGAGGGGGAAGCAAAATTGTTCGTGTAGATGTGACAGGGGATCAGGGTAAAACATGGCAAGTTGCGAAACTCATCGATGAGGAGGCAGATGCTCGCCCATACCGTCATTGGGGATGGACCTTATGGACTGCTGAAATTCCAGTCTCCTCAGGATCAAAGCAGGTACCCTAAACTGGCAGTCAGTGCCTTACTTGTTTAACACAGTTTCATAGAATCTCTCCTGAGTCCATGGCAAAACTAAGGAAATGAATGCATTTATTTCCAATTGCACATAAACTACAATGGACCGCATACTATTTGAACTTCACCAACCGATACTTTGAAAATTTCCAAATTTACCGCATAAATAAGAAAAAAAAATTCTTGTTTGCATACATTCAAAATTCCTGCTCACATAAAAACTAAAGCCTATTCAAGTCAATTAGAACACTGAACTAACCTATATATGGTTCACAACGGAATAATTTTTTCTGTATTCCTAATCTATCTCGAGACGCTCACAAGTTTTACAAATTAGAGATCAATTTCGTCAAACCTAACACTGAGTATTAACCAAATAGATAAGATTATGCCTATTCAATGGCTGATTTGACATGCTTTGATTTTGGTTATTTTACAAGAAAAAAGTTCAACTCCATTGATTCTAATATCAACAACAAAAGTCGATTTTTCCTTGGTGGGTGAATTTTGGAAGTTTTTGATACGTTCCAAGCGTTTTACAAGAAATTTTGATGAGGAGGCATGTCTAATTTTCTTACAGATGTGAATCGGTTTCTCTCTGAATCCTGTAAGTGTTTTTGTCTTATTTTCCAAGCTTTCAAATCTTTTCAGCATAAGTTACCCTTACCTTCTATTCTCTAGGTTGAGCTATGGGCAAAAGCAGTGGATTCCAACTACAACACACAACCTGAAACCTTTGAGAACATATGGAATTTGCGTGGAGTTCTCTCAAATGCATATCATCGAATCAAAGTAAATCTAAAATATGCGTAATCAGTTGATCACTAAATTTTGAGGGATTATTCACCTCTTTATATTTTTTGGGCAGGATACATTAAAATGTACCATTACTGCTCATGATGCAGGATACACAAAACACCTTGAAAGATTATTAGTACGGGTTATTTTTCTTAATGTATGATACCATTGTAAATTTTCTTAAAACCATGATATTAATGACAATACTCCTAAACAAGCAAAGAAAGTAAGTTTATACACTTTAAAAAATTTTCATGTTTTTATCTCTTTTTTACTGTTCTTTACTCTAATTTTTTCTGACGTCCTTTTTTATACTTTTACAAATTTTGAAGTTTGAAGAATGTGCATTACTCCTCCCCCCTTTTCTCTGGTTGTCCTCAATCCTCTCTATTTTTTATCTCGTGTCCACCGTCTTGCTTAAAAAACTGCTGCTAGAAAGAGACCCAAATTTTGGATTAGAGAGGCTGCATGATAAAATACTATGCATTCCAAACCCTCTTTAAACAATTCAACAGAAATAATGCTCACTCATATTTTCTCTCTTTGTTCCTTTTTTTGATTGTTCCCCTTCTAAACCCTCTTTTTCATACCCTTAAAATTTTGCGGACATTTATTTTGTAGTGCGTAACCGTTTTCCTCTTTTTCGTAGTTGTCTTTGCTCCTCTCTGTTTCCTATCTATTGTTCTTCGCCTTACTCAAAAAACTTTGAATTAGAAAGAGGCGCAAATTGTAGACTAGGAGCGCTGCATGATTCAATGCTGCGCATCCTTTTACATATTTTTGTTTAATGTAACAGGAAAAATACTTATTCCTTCACTCTTTTGTTGCTGAAATTTTCAGTTTAATGTGTGAAAAAAATAGGCATTTACACACTGAAGAGTAGTGTATTGATTGAAGTCGAATTCTATGAGGTGCCATGATTTTTTAAATGATGTATAAATTTATAATTGTTGATTATATTTTGTTGAAATTTTGTACCTTATTTTTTTCTCTGCTTAGACCTATAATTATTTTGGAGGGGCAAAAATTAAATGCTTTTGTGTTCCACCTCTGTTAGGTAATTAACATAATAATCATTGTATTGTCTCTCTATGTTAATTTGCTTTAACGAAATTTTAAGATTAAATTTAAGAACTTGGTTATCACAATCATTGTAACGTATTTGTCGTAATTTATTGCTATTGTGAACATTCGGCTCTGTTGAAATATTAAACTTCACCAAAAAGAAGCTTAATAATAGTGCTTAACGATGGCAGTGGCATAATTACAAAAATAAAATTTTCTTGTTACTCAAGTATTCAAAAAACCTTCCTTATCCATCTCTAACTTACCTATCACCGTAAGAATTTGAAAACTAACCATACTTAAGTTCCTGAGAGCGTTATGAGGCAAAAAAGTGTCTTATTTTAGCACTGGTCAGTCCCTCATTAAAATTAAAATTTAGGTTCTAGAAAGTCTGCATAGTTCCTGATTGATGAAATTAAGCAGAAAAGAAAAAGAAACATCCACAAGTAGGCTTCACATCGAAGCTCCTCTCTTGTTGCATTCATAAAATAAAATCTATCAATTAATTTTTTTGAAAGTATTTCAGAATACTTCTGTAAGACTCAAAGAGGTCACATTTGCTGTCTGACTCTACCACTGCTGAAAAAATTTTAAAAATAAATCCTGCAACATCTGTTGTGAGATAATTCCTCCATCCTGGACTTTTTCTTCATGGAACAGTATTTACTACAAGGACTTGTTTTCCTTGTCAGACTCAAAATCAAACATTTTTCATAGATAGCTTTTTTTTTTACCTAATCTGAAAGAAAATGGGTACCTAAGGCCCCAAATATATTTCAAAGCAAGGGAAAGCTCCTCTTCCCTCGTGGTTATGCTCTATCCTCTCAGATTCAGTCACTCGACTCAAAAATTCATGGTGGAAGTCGCGAAACATGAATCTCAATTGTGACATTTTGAAACCAAAGGAACTCCAACGAACACTCAGATTCAATATTTTCAATTTTCTGCGTATTTCATTAATAGAACTTTTTTGTGAAGGGTATAAAGGAAAATTAGGAGGAAATAATGCTCAACAGTTTTATTCTAAAGAATTTAACGTGACAAAAAAGTTTCAAAGCCACACATTTTGAGATGTTTGTGTTTTGCGACTTTTACTATTGATACCTATGTATTTCCCAACCAATTTTTGAGATTTTTCATCTAAAGCCATATTCAGTCGCTCAACTACAGTTTGATGAGGCGGCGCAGTTTGTCGAACCTCGAAAAGAAGGGTGACAGAAAGTTCGACCGCTTGCAAGGTGGCAGTTCATAAATCGCGGCAAAAGCTCATGTACGCCCTCTATCGAGTAATAAACAGAACTATTTTCAATTTGATCAGTTTAGTGGAGGGGGCGGTGAAGAGAGGAGTGGGGTTTCGATATTCTGGTTCTGGTTTCCCCTCCTTTCTCTTATCGTCTCGCAAGCACGAGCACGAGGAGTCGGTCAGCTGATTATTGTTTAGTTTGGATTGGAACTTGCGACTGTCGGAAGCTTATCGCCGCGCAATCGCTATCCGCATGTTCCCCGTCATGTTCGAGTCAACTTGTCGGGGCGGGTCGCGTTTTCGGGTCAAAATAATTAACTTCGTCAAGTGTTTATTACCGAAATGAATGCGTTTTGTCTACTTATTGTGTCGTTTTTCTGATGTGAATGTGCGAGTGCATCTTTGTTTACTCATTTGAAGCGACTCACGCCAGTATTCCTCGGTCTATCTGAGTGTTTATGTTCTTACTCTGTTTCTTAAAATGAGACGTAATGTTAAAATATTACTGCTGTTTTCTGTCACATGGATGTTCGTCGTAGTCTACTACTTCCAGACTACCCGGGATTTGAAGGTAGGCCTCATATTCATGAGCTTTTATAATTGCTATTATCACCCACCCTTACTGCCTCAAATTTGAGGTTATGAACGGCTCCTTATCAGTAATGTCGAATCGATTTTAACCGTAATAATTAAGTAAGTGAATTACGCCTGGAAACTGAGTAATTTTGATCAAAACTTCAAGAGGACCTTTCGCCCAGCTACAAAGCACTTCCCGTCAAAGGGTTTTGACAGCAGTAGTTATCGAAAATGAACTAATATATCGTACCTGTACTGTCTATATCATATTTTTTTAAATTTGGGCAAGCATTTACGCACTCCTAGATTTGAGTGTGCACATGAATGTACTTATTTCCTCTCACATTATCTTCTATCCCTTTGAGGCACAATCGTTGAACTCTGCATGCTCAAGCACAAGGTGACAGATGTGTTTCCATTCACACTGTGATCACCGTTTCCAGGATTCATAGCTAACAGATCGAACTCCTTACGTATCTCTAATAAAGGGACAATCAAGAATTTGTTGAAAGCTCACCGTAAATTATTAAGATGTCTCTCTCTCTCTGGCTGAAAAACTCGCCTATTGACCAGTCAGGAACTTCAAGTCTAGTGAGTCTTAGGAGGATACCTACCAGATTAGTAAATAATCATGTAATCTCTCTTGAAAAATCGTCAACATTCAAGAAAATACCCAGGTTGATACTATTTGTTTCTACTGTTTAATATACATATCAAATCATATTCTTGGTACCATTCCTGCTTGACATAATAGCGAACCAATAATTAACATTACATACACATGATTAATTACTTAGAAACCATTAATGGACGCTATTTAGTTTAGATACGCAGTCTTAAAACATCACACCATCAAATTTGATCAATACCACCAAAGATCACTCACGACTGTCTCACATTTCTATTGGCTTTGGATTGCGCTCACATTTTTACTTACTTAGGTAAATCAATGTGAGCGATACAAAATTCATATAAGAAGTTATTTTCTCTAGGAGACACCATGGTGATTGAATACAATATCTGAAGGAAGAAGGAAATAAATTGCTAACTTGTACTCGTCCGTTGTCAGTTTAACACAAGCACTTATAGTAAGTTTTCAGGATCAATTGAATTCCCCCCCCCCCCCCCCCCCCCC